GCATGGTTTCACCAAGGACAAGTCCTGCCTGACCAACCTAGTGGCCTTCTATGATGGAATGACCACATCAGTGGACAAGGGAAGAGCTACAGATGTCATCTATCTGGACTTCTGTATGGTCTTTGACACAGACCCCCACAATATCCTTGTCTCTAAATTGGAGAGATATGGATGTGATGGGTGGACTGTTCAGTGGATGAGGAATTGGTTAGATGTTCGCATCCAGAGGGTAGTGGTCAAAAGTTCAATGTCCAAATGGAGATTGGTGACAAGTGGTGTCCCTCAGGGGTTCATACTGGACCAGTACTGTTTAATAGCTTCATCAATGACATAGACAGTGGGACTGAGCGCACCATCAGCAAGTTTGCAGACAACACCAAGCTGACTGGTGTGATTGATGCCTGAGGGAAGGGATGTGCCATCCAGAGGGACCTGGACAAGCTCGAGAAGTGGGCCCATGTGAACCTCATGAGGTTCAACAAGGCCAAATGCAAAGTCCTGCACATAGGTCAGGGTAACCCCTGATATCAATACAGGTTTGTGGATGAAGGGATTGAGAGCAGCCCTGCAGAGAAGGACTTGGGGGTACTGGTAGATGAAAAGCTGGACATGAGCCAGCAATGTGCACTTGCAGCCCAGAAGCCCAACTGTATCCCGGGCTGCATCAAGAGAGGTGTGGCCAGCATGTCAAGCAAATGGATTCTGCCCCTTTACTCCTCTCCCATGAGACCCCACCTGGAGTAGTGTGTCCAGCTTTGGAGCCCTTGGCACAGGAAAGACACCATCCTGTTGCAGCGGGTCCAGAGGAGGGCCACAAAAATTATCAGAGGGATGAAACTTCTCTCCTATGAAGAAAGGCTGAGAGAATTGGGATTGTTCACTCTGGAGAAGGCTCCAGGGAGATCTTATTGCAGCCTTTCAGTACTTAAAGGGGGCTTATAAGACAGGTACAAACATTTTAACAGGGCTGCTCTTTATTTTAAAGGCATTTAAAAGTTACATTTAAGGTTATTACAGACAAAAGTGACAATTAGGGCACAGGTAGAACAGATCTAGGGTGGGCAGAGACTAAAAAGCAGAAGTCAGCACATGGCCTAACCATAGCCCAAACCTTAGCTGTCACCCTAATCTAAGAATGCCACCCGTCCCCAAATCAAAATTAAAAGAAAAGGGAACAGCTTTTACTAACTCTAAAATATCCTCTGAGCTTTTTCTGCTACCAAGAAAGTAATGATGGTACCATCAGCTGTCACTATGTTAAACTGAATGCAACTGTAGAGACAAGTTTCTGCCTACCCCTGGATCCCCTATCTTAAATCAATTCCATTTGCTCATGAAGGACCTAGTAATAGAGATCCTAAATTACTTCTGTCCTGAACCCTGACACAGTCTAAGCCTAAACTCAATCATGAACATCCCCTTGGCACACACCAGGGCCACAGCTAGAAACAAAGCAAAGATAGGTGCATGATGCAGCACTCACCTCTGTGACCTCTCCCACACCCAATATTAACCCGCACTTTCTCTGGCACTAAAGCTTATCCTAACTTTAGGCTAACCTTTATCAGCAAGAGAAATTGGACCAACACTGAAATATGAACAAGAAACCCTGGCCAGCCTTAGACAGAACTGCAGTCCAAGGAAGGGCCTTCACAGGAGAAGGCCAACAAACCAGGCACTTCAGTCATTGCCATCCTTTACCCTACCACATATATCCTCAGGCAGAAATAAACATGCAGACCAGGTGATCTAAGCTGAGCCCAGATCCACAAATCAGCATCATGTCAGAGAACAGCTTAGCATGGGTTATAACATCTGGAGGAAAGGCCTGGCCATGTCATCTCTCATTCCTCTGACCCAGCACACAGCCCTGCCTGGGGTATGGCCCAAGCACGTTGCCCTGCGATCACTCGGAGCAGCCACGCTCCCAAACCAGCCAACACCATTCTGCATCTGCACTTCGTTCCCAGGGGTTACTTCACTCTCAGATTTTTGTATGAACAGCGTTGTCACACAAACTCTGCCTTCATCATTCCTCTGATTCCTCATGGGACTGTTTTCCTTCCTTTGTTTAATGAGTGAGGTTCCCACATCCCCTTTCCAATACATATACATAATTTGTGTTACTGTATCCAAAGTGCTAAGCTTTGTTTGCTGCCTCAGTTCTGATACTTTCCTCTGCTTCTTCCAGCCAGTATCAGCACCATAATTCATCCTTTCTTGTGTGTTAGAAAACACAGTTCAGAGGCAGCACATAAGATGCAGCCACCCAAATTGCCTCAACTTGTCATCTACAAGATGAGCAGAATAAATTATTTCACAGAAAACAAATGATGGTCATGATGAAATATCACATCAAGCCAGAAAGGTGATGTGTGTGTTCTACAGCAATATAAAATTTTATTTGGGACTCCTCCTGACATTTTTGAATTAAATTTTCAAATTACACAGGAAAAGACATCACCACCAGGGTCATCTTCATCGCTGCTGTAATTTATGAACTTAAGCGCTAGCCAAGGTGAACTGAATTTACTGTCTGTAATAAAAATAAGATTTAAGAAAATACACCTGAGAAATATACCTTCTACTTCAGCAACAGGACCGCAAGAGCACAGATAGGCTCATAGATTATCAGGACATGGCTGCCATCGCAAGGGCTGAGGACATGGGAGATGCCTCTTAATTTTCAGCTGTCTTCCTGTGCCACACCATGATGGTGGCTTTTGGGTTTTACCACACTCACGCAGACATTTCATGAGGGACAGGAACATGCCATGGTCCTTAACACCAGCATGAGAGTATTTTCCACAAAAAAACCTCTGACCTCTCAACCCTCATCTTTTAGGGTGGTCTGCAAAACAGCTTTAACAAGTTACCAGCTGAGTTTCATGGATGTTAAATAACAAAATACTAAAAATCATCCCCTCCCAAACACCGGTTGTATGGCAGGTTGTGGGTTTCCACTGATCTCATGCCCCTCATTTTCCCACAGCAATAATCACCCCTTTCTGCCCAGGGATTTATCACCTCTCCTTTCCTAGCGCCTGCCTTGGCCCCTCAGGCTTTAACTTGCTTTTCCTCACAGAGCATCTTTATCCTCAGACTGTACTTGGTTTCAGTTTACTGCTTCTGTTTCAGGTCTGGAGAGGGCCAGTGTGCCAGACAGCATCTCCATTTTTACACCTGCAGCAAATGCTGTCACCTCACTGTAAAACTTGCCCAAATGTAGACTGAGATCATCACGCCTACAGCAGTAACACTTTTACTTCCCCTCTTACATATAAACCTGTAATTTTCTCCCTTGCTTGCTGTCTCGCTAACAGCCAGCAGGCTATGCTAAGGGATCAGTTTTCTCCATCAGAAAAAACGCTGAGACCCATTTGCAAGCTGTGTTTTCCCACCAGCAACGCGAGGATAACTAATGAGTCTGCCCGAGACTGACACAGCTCTGCCCAGAAGTGAAAAGATGAAAGATACACATTTCCCCATCAAAATAACAGAACATTTTGTCACCATGCACAGTATCCCATGTACTACCAAGGCTTCCAGCAGACAAATCTGAACATCCCCTAGTGACAACTAGGTCATTTCTTGAGCACAGGAAGATAATAGAGCAACTTCCCTCCTGACAGTAGGTACTTTCTTCCAGCAGTAAGAAACAGGCCATGATAATATGAGAAAAAGTATGACTGGGCCTTTCCAAAACATGGAAGTGATGAAACAGATGTCAGGAATGGCACCTTTGCCCTCTGTATTGCCAGGGAACATACTGACCGCAGGCTCACAGGTGTTGTCTGGAAGCCTGGTGAAGCCGAGCTGATTTCTTAAGCAGTCAAAAGACAAAGTCCAAATCATGATGAGCAATTGATTTCTATTCTTATAAAACTTTGGAACGGGTCAAGTTTTGTATTATCACAGGAGGGCATAAATCAAAAGCCAGAGGAAAATAAGAGGTGGTCAAAACCAATGAGTTGTGGTTTCATAGCTAGAGTAAATGGGTGCATGTATGGTGCTCCAGCCCCAGCCACTGCCTCTCTCATGCCTGCACCACCACCCCTGCGGCAGGAATGCCAGGAAGGAGCAGAATGAAACATAACATTGTTTTTTGTAAAGTTTGGCTTTCAGGCCCAGAAACAAAATATCTGGCCATGCATGAGGCTAAGATCACAGTAAACTCCGCATGAAAACCGTTCCCTCAGGTTGTTTTCACAACCATGTGATGCAGAGGGAAAAAAGGGAAATAATTACTTGATGAAAGTGAAGCTATAGGTTTGGGGGAAGCTGAGTCAAACTAAGCCTCTGCTCCTAAAAGGAAGAGATCCCCCTCTTCCCTCCCACTTATGCAGCTCTTCTGCTTCTGCCTACACAATCCAGCTCCCTCCCCTGTGATGACTCTGGCAGGCACAGAACCTCTCCATAAACCAACTTTATTCACCATCGCAGTAGATGACTCTCTGGCTTGCTATGTCTGTTCCTTGTTACCTGACTTGGCTGAACTGACAAGAGGTGCCAAATGATGAGCGGATTAGCCCGAGGCAAACAGTGTAGGGGACTGAGGGAAGAGAGGGGGATGGTGACTTTCTTCCTCCAGGGCAGCTGAGCCCTTAGACAAGCTCATTTCTTAGGAAACATGCTTTCACTGTGCTTCTATGAGGCTGGTCTCTCCATCTAAACTGAAACTCTTTTGACAAAGATCCCCATAAAAAAAAAAAAAAAAATCCTTCCTTAAGTGTGATCACAGCAACCAGTTCAAGAGAAATAACTAATTTAACAGCAGTTTCAAAAATTACATTACCAACTAGTGGAAGACATTCCTCAGTTAAACCATTGTCTCTTCCTGGTTCCAGATTATTCAATTTAATAGTAATATTAGTCACAAGAGGAAATTGCTTGTTTAAACAACCAGAAAATCCTTATTTCATTATATAGTAGTAAACTGAAAAATCCACAGTGAAAAGTGAAAAGAAAAAAAAAAAAAGCCTGAGCAAAATATTCTCTCATTTCAGTGTTTAATTGACAAGTGCAAACATAAGACTCTCATTCTGCAAGATGTGTGTATCATTCCATTAAAATCAAGTCACATGTGTGGGCAACAAACAGTAAAAAGGCAGCGCTGGGTGAAAACATTGTGCTTTGAGTTTGAAACCAGTGAAAAAAAAAATAGACTTAGAAGATAAAATACCAAATTGAGATTCCATATACATTCATGATGTTGGAGGCCCCGTCCCTGCCTAACCAATATCCTTGCAAGTACTCCTCTGTGCATGGCTTTCCCTGTCTCCTCAAAGGGTGATGGAATAGACAGCCCCCACTCCTCCTTTTGGCCAGTCCTCAGCATTGAAAGCTTTGCACAAGAGCACTGCTATCAGCATGCACATATGGCATTCCACCAGGTAAAGTTTGCTAAACATTCGTAAACAAAGTGACTTACCTGAATCTTTGCTAGACTAGTACTAGTTTTTCTTCACATGAGAGTGGGAGACAAGTTTTCATATCCTCTTTTATTTATCTTTAGGTGGGAGAAGGTAAAACTGCCATAAGCAACTTCAAGAGTTAGAATAATTTGGGTAGGTCCTATGGCATCTAGGACACAGGGAGTGTTAGAGTTCACATGGCTCCTAAGCTGTGGTATGATGACTTAAGCTATTTACCCTATAGAAATGCCATACACCTACATCTTCAAAATGGACCTCATGTGGGCCAGGTGGGGTACATAAGCCTCAGACACTGTGGTAGGTACAGTGGTTTCCCAAAGAAATGGATTTTCTGCATTAAAGGCTGTGTCATCTAAAGTCAATCATTTCAAGGAATACATCAAGGTTGATGAACTACCAATGAATTATATGCATATTTCATTCTCAGCTTTCTGCCAACTTATAAACCACTCCCTCTGGATTTTTACCAGGAGGAAATAAATTAGAAAAATATTCATTTTTCCAGAGCAGACAAGTCTTGGAACTTCTCCCATAGCAAATATCAAGGAATGTAGTACTCTCCTCAACATCTGACAATCTTTTTTCAGTATTGAAATGCCTAGCTTTTGTGAAGCTTATCTCCCATTACCTTTATGCACAGAGACAAGAATTTCAGCCTCATTTTAGCTCAGAGCTTTTCAGTTCTGTTTTTCCTTTTCCTTTTTTAACTTCAATTTTTGTTTTAGTTAATAATGAAGCCAGTCCTTAAAAATGCAAGAATATGGCAGCTTGAAGCAGACCAAACTGGGATAAATCTTCAAGCTGTCAAGAAAAGGCTGACTGACATCTTAAAAGGTCTGCTGCTTTGAAATGCCCCACACAAAACAGGAAATACCACTTCGGCTCTGCTACTACAAGAAAACCACTTTGGCTTCCTGTTAACAGAAAGACATGTCTCATAAATTGAGTTAAACCCGAATCTCGTTGCAATTGGTCACTTTTGTACCACCAAACAAATAAAACAACAAAAAAAGCCCAACCCCCAAACTTCAGCCACAGAACATAAGAGTTTCTCACACAGAAGTATGTTTACATGGACTCCTTGCTTCTTTAAGAGTTAAAACATACAATTTTTTATATTATAACTGCAATACACATGTAAGCTTACAGGCTCGCACAATAGATGCAACATGCCCATAATTTTTCCTAGTTAGAAATAATTTTAAATTCTGAAATTCTACACAGTTTTAAATCAAATACTGCCTCTTTTCTTCCTCTCCCTCCTTGGCTGTCCCAAAACAGCCTTTTCTCTCAATATGAAGGTTTCCTCCAAAAATAAAATTATCTGAAAAAAAATGTAGCACATTATTTATTCCTGTTTATTCGTGCTTCAGATGAAACCCGGTATTGAGTAAATAATCAGAACTAGATGCAGAAACAATTCACAGTCTCCATATGAAATCTCTCCTGTCTTACGAAAAGTGATCCCACCTCATTCTGGTAGCTCATGAGATCTACACCACCAAACCAGAGAAATCTGATTTCCAGAAAAGCCACCAGAAACAAGCTGCAGAAACAGCTGAAATTAGACATTGTCATTAGTTACTCCAAAATCTGCAAAGCCAGACTGATTGCTCCAATACCAAAAGGCTTTACTGACAAAGGAATAGTTGCGCACATGCACCCGTCCATGCGCACACACTTTCTCATGAAAAAGTACAGAAAACAAGTCCCGTGAGGCAGATAGCTAAAGACTTTTGGACGCTCACTAGGGATGCACAGTTTTTTTATGTTATGAGTCAATAGTGCAGGCCTTCCAAATTCAGACCGACAGATACTGTTTACCCCAAGTATCACTGAATGGAGCAGAGAGTTGTCCAAGTTTCTCCAGCCGAGGTGGCTCCCTGCTGCGTTCACTGGCTGTAGCTGTCTGCTTGTGCACACTTATGTCTCCAATTGTAGCTGTGCAGCCCATTGCGATAAATCCAGCACCAAGGGGAAACTGTCATATTAATTAGCAATGTTGGAAAATTAATCCTGTTTTACTACAATTTTCACTTCACATTTCTCATGTTTTCCACTTGTCTAAATAATAGCTGAAGAGAATGGAGATAGACCCCCAGCGCTGCACTTGCATAAAATCCATATATTTGTTTTCTTGAACACACAGAAATTTGTTAAAATAATGACTGCATTAAAGAACACCATTCAAGAATTTTCTGTTCGTTTCTAAGAGGGTGATACAGACCATACTCAGCAGGTTTCCAAAACCTCAGTTGTTCAACAGTAAGTATCTACTGACCATCTGAAAGTAATTTAAAAGCTGTTTTAGGCTATGTAATCTATCAAAACCAATAGTAGAGTTTGAGCAGTCCAAGGACATTTGTCTATATATTTGGGAAACCTGTTTTGTATATGCTTATACAAGCACAGTGTGAAAAGAGCCAACACAGCATGTGCAGGCCACACAGTGCTTTCCTTTGTATAGTGCAAATCTATTTCAGCAAATGGAGTTGACTAGATCTTTTCTGAGAACTACAAGGCACTGACTTGTCTGGCCCTGTTCAACAGACCACTTAAGCATGTGCTTTTTTTTTAAGATCTAAGATGCTTTTGAAGAAAAATGGTGTTTGGTGTTTACACACTGTTTTATGAGAAACTTGCACTTGGGAGAGAAAAATGTACATGCAATTTGACATCCATTAATTATCAGTTATTTAGCACCAGCAGACTAGCCCCAATTATTAAGTCCTGACCCAATATCAGTCCTTATCCTCACACTCGTAAACCCTTTTATACCTGAGGCAGTAACACTATCCCCAAGTATAGCATTCAACCAGTCACCATTTCCCCTGACGCTCTCCTGTTAAAGCCTATATCAAAGGAGCCTACATTTTTCCTTCTATTTCCCCTTTCTTATAGCTTATCATCTGCTCCTCAGTTCTCACACTCAACACAGCCTTAACTGCCATTTTTTTGATGCATTGGGACATAATTCCATGTCTCAATTTTAAAAGGAAAGCTGCTGAATGTTAAAAATGCAGTATCAAGAGTCAAACTTATCACTACACAGGTGGAAAAGATTTCACATGTTCCCACTAACACTATTAACTTTTGTTTTCTCAGTCAAGCTATGATAAAACACATAATGTATAAAGACAGGTGCATCTGTAAAGTGTATTTTCATTTAAAAGATAAACTGTGTTGAAAACTAATGACAAAGAATACCATTACGAAATAGCCAACAGAAGGGCTGATTGCCACAGTTCCTGCAGTGGCATTAATTTGAGAATGGTGGACTAATTCTTCCTTTTAAAAATTCAGCACTCTGCAAAGTTCCTCATACTTGTACACATGCAAAAGATGGGAGGGCAAAAACCCCAAACCTTGTACTGAGGACATTGAAGGCAAGAAGTTATGATCCTCCAACAAAACCCCTAACATACTTATTTTTATTTGCCCAAAGGGAAATCTTGAAACTTTCTAGAAAACTTATTTTCCTGCCCTGAAGATTTTCTTCATCTAAAACTCAAAGCTAGAAAAACAGAAGAAGAAGTTACAGCAGATGTCCCAGTGTAGCTTCAGTTGTAGAGCTATTATTGTGATTCATAATGGAACAAAAAACATAGAGGCATTCCAAGTCAACCTGTAAGCATTCTCATTGGGGCAGGTCTGGTCCATATGTGCCTATCTACATTAGGAAATTCAGCATATATAAATATATAAATAAAACATATATACAGTACATAGTCACATTCATATAAGCCATAAAATTACATATATTTACAAAAATATATGCAGCTATGTTTTACACTTTCAGGTCCACATCAGGAATTGAATTATTTAGCTTCTGTCTTGTGAACTTGATCACCTTCCTAAGTAGGAATCTGGGATGAACTTGTACCTTATATATTCACAGCTGTCAAAAATTAGACAGAAAATAATCTTCCAAGGAATTCTACCAAATCAGTAAGAAAAGCTGATACTTGTTGAAGCATTAGCTGCCTCACAGAAAATTACATGTTAACAAACATTGAAAGACCTTCTCTTCATGTAGAAAGACAGTACCTTGGTCTGGTCCATAAATAAATTTCAAACTCATAAAGCATCAGGCAGAGCACAAACCAGGTGCCTGACAGCTGTCTGTAGTACAAACTCATGCATAATTACTATTTGTCTCAGTTTAAACGGGTAGAATGGTGAAAGTGAATGAATGTAGAGATGAAAATGCATACAGCAGGTTACCTTACAGGGTAAAAAGGTAGACTACATCCTGTCAATATTGTTCTAGCTTCCTTTTAACGGTAAGTTACGTGGTTAAAACAACTTCAATGATCTCACATTTATACAGTACATATTATACAGTTCTGTGACTTCCAAGAGCTAAGACATACTTAATTTACTTCTCCAAGGATGGAAAAACATTTCTTCACTGCTTCATAAAATAATCTTCTTAGGTATGCAGCCCAGGTTCAGGCATGTTTTTTTAATTTGGGGGATTCACCATTTTGACATGAGTTTTGCAAGAAGAACTAAAACTTGGGAGAAAAATTTGTTTTCCTTTCGAAGAACACTTGAACAAAAGCAATCCTCAAAATGCAGCAGTTTAAAGTGCTTGTATGTGAAGACCCGTGGGGAAAAATCTTGCCATGAACCATTGAACTATGGCCTCAGATAGCACTTTCAGTCATAGGCTGTGGAGTCATCTCTTGCTCCTCGCTATTCTCTGTGGACATGTCCTGGACCTCCTGCTGCTGATAAATGTCTTGGACCAACATGATGTTTGTGTTTCTCCACTCTCTGTACTTCATTGCTGTCAGTTTTGGGTCCTCTAGCAACTGGTTAATTGTAGCCAGGTCATGTTCCTTACACTAGGAAGAGAACAAGTGGTTATTTCCCACAGAAACTGTCAAGCTCATTGTCCATAAAAAAAACACTCCAGGAACCTTAGAAAACCATGTCACAAGGAGATGACCAATTATCCACCCTCCTGGCAACATGTTTCCATTTTTAGAAAGGAGATCATCCAAGTTAAGTCCACAGCAGAAATTCATCCCAGTTGAAGGCAAGGTTATGATTTCATATAGATTTTATAGTTTGTATGTTTCTTAGCAAAACTTGATGAGAGAGGATTCATGTGAAAATTAGACATCATTATGCTGTCTCACCACAAGTTAGCATGTGCATGAAACTAGACACAACAGCATTTATTTCTGTAATTCACACCAGTTCCAACTTTCTCAAAAAAATACTTATTCCCAGGCCACACTATAAAGGTCTCTTTTCTGGGAGCTAGACAGAAAATCATTTTAGATATAACCTGTACAATGGCAGTAGAGTGGCTAGAGCACATGTGGATGCTAATACATCTATTGACAGCTACTACTACTAAATTTGGTCTCTACGTTTACACAAGAGCAGCTCAGACCATATACTGCAGGCACCCTGGTTCAATTGTAAGTTATGAACAGCCACAGATATAGGGATGCTGAGACCCTTTATGTCACAGAATCACAGAATGCTTGAGGTTGGAAGGGACCTTTGGAAGTCATGTGATCCAATCCCCTTCCTCAAGCAGAGCCACTTAGAGCCGGCTGTCTAGGACCATATCCAGGCAGCTTTTGAATATCTCTAAGGCTGGAAGACTCCACAGCCTCTCTGAGCAACCTGTGCCAGTGCTCAATCAACCCTCACAGTAAAAAAGTGTTTCTTGATGTTCCGAGGGAACCTCCCATGTTTCTGTCCCCTGCTTCTGGTTCTACCACTGAGCACCACTGAGAACAGCCTGGCTCTGTCTTCTTTACATCCTCCCTTTAGATACTTATGTTCATTGATGTCCTCACATTTTCTGACACGGAGAACCACTTTGCTTTTCCAGCCCTTATTGCCTATCCATGCAGTGGACCACAGGATAGAGAAGCCCTAGTTAGCATCTACAGTTTCTTAATGGAGGCACCATGCTGCACTAACAAACCTTTACTGCTTTTGCCTGGCTCCATCCCCCCACCCCCACCCCAGTCTGTGTGTAAAAGCAATGGAATAGTTCTAAGCATTTTCTCCTACTGCCACCAGCTTCATCATGCCTGAGGACACTCTATGCTAGTGGCTGCCTTGAAAACACCTTGAAAATACTCCCACACATTGACGACACTTCCTGATAGTAGCAATAGACTGCTTACACATCCATATCTCACTACTACTATAATGAACTATCAACTACTCTAATCCCTGTGATGCCCGAGCTGCTTTTTAAACACAAATACTTGTTCAACTGTTGGCTTACACAGGTCCTACCCTAAAGACCTAGCTAGCATCAGTCCTTGGAAGAATGCTTCTGAATTCGATGCAGAGATATGCGTAGTTAGCTTAAGAGAAGAAGAGCTGATAGGGAGGTAGGAGGGAGAGAAAAGGTTTTGCAGTGGAAGACCTCGGTGGCAAAAAGCCATGACATGGAATTTTTCCTGTACCACTAAATTTATTTCTCACATCCATTAAGCCTATGATGCATTTGCGCACAGCTTTCTTCTATTCCAAACGATCCAAAGTATGTTTTGTTAATGATATATTGTGGCAGCAACATTAATCCATTTTAAAGATGTGGAGTCAAAAGTCTAAAATTAAAATTGCACTGAATTTTGCTCATATAACTTCTAAAACTACTAGGGGTTTAATTAAAACAGAGTAAATATGGATCAGATGCAAAACTTCCCTGATTTTTAAATTTCCAATAGATCATTTCCAATTGCCTCATGTCTCATGTTAGACATTAAGAAAATTGACTTTAAAAGCACATAATCCCACTGATGCAAAGAATATAGCACTTTACCACTGCAGGCATTTGCCTTTCAGACAGGCTAACTTAACCACTGCTGTGTATAAAACTCTCTTTGTGTCTGTGAGAAAATGTCTGTGCTGTATTTGTCTTGTCAATACTCCAGTTTCTTAGATTGAAGAAAGCAAAAAGAGATCAACACATTTTATACATTATGAACACTCCAAAAGTGATTTTTCCATATTAAATACAAGTGTTAGACAAGCCTATGGTTATAAACACTGTTAATCATAATTTATATAATACACCCATACTAAACCAATGCAAAGCTGTCCTCCTTGCTCATGTCTGGCAGTAAGGCTTCCATTCAGCTCTGTACTAGTGAGGTTGATTGTCCACAAGATACAACTCTATTTTGTACTAACTGGTTCTTAGATTTATCAGGGAGGCTCCTATCAGGGAAAACTGCCATATGTTTCTATATTTAGCTTCCTGTCCCATAAAATAGGCATACTTTTTAAACTAACTTTCTTGTTAGTGGTGAGCTTACTTTATCACTGATGCAGATGAATACTGCTATAGTCAGTACCACATCACTGAAAACTCTGTGATACTGAGGAGAGACTCTACCAGGTCTCATACTGAGCCATCAAGAATGCCTCTATTCCCACTTGTCTTCTCAACTGTATGTTCAGGAATTTTAACACAGGCCCAGGTGTCAAAGCCAAGCCTCCCATCACAACTAATAATCGAATCAATGACTCTGCTAGTAGGAGAAGTTTTTACGTGCATTTCTCCAGCTTACAATGCCTGAAGCCAAACACACACGCTTGAAACACTCAATTCCTGCTTCTAATGCATACAAAAAGAAACAAATGAAGCCCCAGGTTTACGTTTATTCTTTCTTCTCCTTACAGTTTAAATGCTATGGTTAAGCTTTCTGTTTCCCTCAGTACCATTCAGAAGCAGGCTTTGAAATCCCATGACACTTGATGCTGGCGAGTAAACAGCCTCATAAATCCCCATATTCCAGACAGATTTACTGGCCCTTTCACAGAATGTCCTCTGAACCCCTCCACCCCTCCAGTTCATGATACATATCCAACATAAAAGCAGGATGCTTTTGTTATTAAAAATATTTTAGTTACAGGAGGTCTTTACAATAGCTTTGGCATATCCTGTACATTCTGCAATAATCACATAAGGAAAACTTTTTTTTGGCTCAGGGTCATTTTCATGTCCTTTAGCATCAGCTTACTTTGTCTGCTTTTTCTTTTTTAAGGCTACTCTGTTTAGTGCATTCAGCTGAGTTTGCAAGTTTTCCAGCTAACTAAGAGAAGCTTTCTTTATTAAATTTTGCAAATGGTCTGGAACTTCTGCAAGAAGAGTCCCCTCTGAACTATTGCCTCTGCTTCCAGTTCAAATTGAACAACAAAACACAGATCAGTATTCAGAATGATGTAGAAAACAATTTTAAAAACTTAACCAAATTCTCTGGGGCTTTAAGTAAATATGTAATTAGAGTGTGGCTGAAGTCTAGGCTTACTTCTTTTTTCCAGTCAAGTTGTCTCTTTCTCTCAGGCTTTCCCTTGGCTAGTTCTGTGACCTCACCTTTAACGTGCTGTTCAGCATTCGAATTTGGTGGAGTTTCTCATTAATGGAGGGGTTTTTGCTGCGTTTGATAAATGACTTTCTAAGCTCCTTCTTTGTTGACAGCCGACGATCACCAATGGGAGACAGGCTTGCTTGTTCTAATGACTTGTAAAGTCGCTCCATCTCATCATCATCACATTTTTCCTGATCTGTAAAGAAAAGAATAAATTGGGTATGAGAACATGAATGTGGCAGCAGAGAGCAGAAATGTGAATTTTAACCATCAGGAAGGTTCTTAGCCAAGTCAAAAAGTAATGGTAATTAGAGTTAAAACCAAGGGCAATTTTTAGGGTAATTTATAGGGAAATAATGCACATGAGAAAGACATAAAAACATTTGAGTTTGGTAATAAGAATCAGGTCATGATCCAAACAGATACAAGCATGTATTTCCACAGATAGAGTGCTGCTTTAATGCTCCGAATATATCACAGACATTGAACAACTGTCAGTAATGCTACACTTGAATGAAAACAACTTTGATAGCACCTATAACTATTCACCCTTCCCTGCATGCTGCACACAGTGAATTATGGTTCTACCTGGCAACTCACAGGTCAAATTCTATTTGGTGTACCAGTTCACAGACTGCAACACAGAATTTGCTTGTGGTGCCTAACAATAAAGCCTTGTTTATCTCCACCTTAATTATTCTGATGGCTCCCAAGCTGCAGCACCATCTTCCATGACAGGACATAAAAGGAAAAGCTAGTAAACAGCTGAGAATGAAATAGCATAAAACAAGATAAAAATTGAACCAAAGACATTTTTCAGAATAAAACAAACACTGTATCAGGCATATATAGGGGCGTTTTGGCAGAAGGCCATTTTCATCAACAGACTGTGCAACTCAATTCTTGTTCCTCAGTCTACACTACAAGCTTTTCTACTTCAGTGTTTGCTAAAGGAAAAACAGTTACTGCTGTGTTCAGGGTGCTAAGGAGTCCCTCAAGATCCACTGGGATAACATCTGTGTTTATTTCACCGGCGACAACAGTGGTAGTTCTTCTCAAATGCTGTCCTCCATGTGCCGGTTGAACTGGATGGGCACTTTTTCCTTTTAATGAAAAGTTAAACATTGACTTTTCTAAATCATCTTCAGTCCACAAACATTTTCTGAACAAAAGGAGGAAGTTCTTTTGCTCACTCATGCTGCAGCCAAAAGACTTCTTCAACATGTCAGCACATTTATGAGGCTGCTCCTTATCTTTTACATGTTTTTAAAAGTACAACATCCTCCTACAACGCTGTTCTTTCTAAATATATAGGTTACAAGAAAGGTTTATGATATGCTACAAATATTTGCCTTCACTGTGTTGCTGGCCTTTTTTTCACTACTTTGTGATTATAAGAAGCCTGCTGTAACTTGACAAGAACTAAATATAGCTTCCAACATTAGTACAGTGCTTGGGGGAGGAAAATGAGAACCGTTGTATATTTAACAAGCTGTGGGAAATAGAAAAAAAATGGAAGCGTAAGGCATAATACACGGCAGTAGTATTTCCTGGAAAATGTCAGCTTATGCCATGAGGCTTGTAATCATAACTAGCTTCCTGCCTACTTTCCTGGGATGAAGCAGCTGGTTGCTCCATTATCCAGTTCCTGCACAGGACTGGGTCAGCTCTAATGTAGACATCACGCATCACGACTGTGCACAGTATCACTTTGAGCGATAAATTGACCTTTATCAGATATCCAAGAAAGAGTATATAAGAAGAAAAAAATTGCATTGATACTGTCCAGCAACTTTAAAAAATAGTCAAGCCATGGGGGACATAAGGTGCGTGCTCCAGATACGTTTTGAAGCTAACTCATGATGCTCTTCAGTGTCCTAAAGAGGTCACAAAACAGCAAGCATGAGAAAACACCCTCAACTGAACACTCTTCTTGCTAAGTATTCTAGTATCTTCCATGCACTTGTGGGTGAATGTAAGGAGGACAGTAATACTCAGCACAGGAAAAGATGAAGCCAAAGTCAGAAAAGCCCAGCAAAAGGCTCCCAGATGATACACTTGACCAGCAGTGTGCATTCAGCTCCTGTATTCTTTCAAGTTTGTAACCTTAAAATCCTCTCTTATTTCTTATTCTTCCACCACTCCCACACACAAAGGACTGATCAGGGTCAGCTAAATCCAGAGGGAAAGGAGCATGCTGGATTCTTCAGACTGGGTAGACAAAGGGAGTGACAGTACACCACCTAAATGGAATTTCAGGAAACATTTGGAAAACAAGGGTGAATGAAATCTACAGGCTGTGTAGAGCCACATATGAGGTATACAGTACTTGTCTCCGTCTTTGTTTACACTGATCAACAGTGAACTTCTACAACAGTTAAAAAATACCAAAACAGTATCTTAATACTGTGCTTTTGCATAGAATCAGATACTGCTGTTGACAGATTATGTCTGCCAATAGATGTCTATAAATTGAGGCTAGACTGTCTGATACCTATCTGGACTTTTACCTTCAATGTCCTGAGTTCCCCTGAGCCAAGCTCAGAGAGAAAAAGCCCATGTTTTGCAGGCTTGAAGCTGCCACTGAACACGCTAGCTTGATGCTGTAAATCTGAAAGGGGGAGAGGTAATGGAGGAAGGGAAGAGGCATTATGTCTAGCAATCAATTAACAAGCCCAATAAAATGATCTGTGATAAGAAAATAGATTTTTCTTCACACACTGGTGCATTACGTTATTTCACAAGCCTCTTAATGCCACAAAAGTAAACAAAGAAAACACTACCTGAAGTGTGCTTGCTTGTTTTTCCCACAAAACACCTGAGAGAAAATTAAGGTTGAATAATAGAGATAAAGCAATGTGACTCAAGGCTTAAGCACAGACTGGACTTTTTCTCTAGATTCAAACATTCACAGCACATGTTTCCAGAACTTGGTATTGCTTAATTCCCTTGCATCCGGAGTCAGAGCACTGACCTGCAGATGAGCAAGTCTGCAGCAGAAGCCCAGGCATTCAGCAGTTCTGTATTATCAGGTTTCAGTGATTTGGATTCCTCCTATGAGACCTGGGCTGTCTAGACTGTACTACTGAATTGTTACAAAATATTTGCTTTCCATCACAAAGTAAAAATTTATGCAAAAAGCATATAGTACATAAGCTCAGGCCCTGATGGAAAAATGAACAGATTGTCTGTATCAGCCTCCCAAAGATAAATGTACCATCCCTACTCTGAGCTTTGTTAGCCTCTGAAGGTTTATAATGATGGATATATTTCGCTAGCAAAAATTTTTAACGTGACAGGTTAGGACCCGCTAGTTGGTGGGAGTGAGTCCTTCCGGTGAGGTCACACAGCTAACACCAGGCACAGCCAAAAACACTTCAAAATATAATATTATAAGTTATCTCTTCCACCAGTACCCTTCAAGCTAAGCACTTTCTGTCTCAGGCATGCAAGTTAGGAAACTGAAATGCTACTACAGCACTTCTTTACCTCATCCTATTTTAAAGATAAAATGCATACATTTTTCTCTCAGAACCTACTCCATGATTAGTGGTAAGGAACAAACAGCAAGAGTGAAGGATATTATACATTGTGTGCATTTATGAGCATGTACATGCACAGAGGGGAACATGTGCATTGTGTCCTTTTCCCTTCCCTTGACAGGATTAACTACAAGCAATTCTGCTGAGTGATGTCACTGGAAGGATCAGTCTTCCTGGGATGCTGCACCATGCCCTTCATTCACAAGCCTTGCAGCCTGCTAAATCTTCATAGCGCTTTTGAAGAAATTCTGTAGCATTGTATAGCTCTTTTGACTTTGTCAGACTCCACAGTGGGGAAAGTGGAAAAGAACCAATGTTGAACTAAGGAAAAGAGAAGTTCTGCCCTGAGATATTTTAGTGTTCAAGAGAAAGATACCTCTAGGTTGGGGTGAGGAAATTAAAGTAGTATTTCAGACAAGTCAGAAATTCTGACAAATTCTGTTTCAGGAGAAGTAAAACACAATTCTGTGGCTCGGTGCCGCTTACCTGGAATTTCCCTCTAACTGACAGGAGATATCACAGACAAGAGCAAGCTGCCAAAGGTTCAACACTCCAGCTCTTCACCTCCTCAATTTTCAGCTTCCACTTTCCTGTCGGCCAACTTGCCACAGGTGGGAGACATTAAGGTATTGAGACTCCCCACCTTGCAGCAGCCCTGCAGGATCCTGCCTGAAATCTCAACTTTAATGGTCTTTAAGCCTACAAACGTGAAATTATCCAGAACTTTTCAAAAGGCAGCTGTGAAAAATCAAGCTGATTGTTTCCCAGCAGTAAAGATATAGAAATTGGCAATGTTTGGCAGAAAGAACATTTTGCATTGAAAACCACAACCAACAGAATGTATCTTGCAAAATCTGAGATGAAAGGTAAATACTTGTTCTCCCTTTCTCTAGCTGAGATGTCACAGCTCTCCAACTGTGTATTAATCCCAGGGGAAAAAAAAAAAAAATCTGCTTCTTCCTCTCGTCTTTGCTACTCTTATGAACTTCTTGTAGCTGTGCCAGCACCTCTATTTCTGATTCTGCCAAACCTTTTTATACCAATGGGACAACATATACGCCCAGGCTGGAGAGAGCAAAGGAAAAAAAAAAGCATAATCTGCTTTTGCCCTTACCTACCTACTCATCCCCCTCCTCCCCATCCCTCTTCCATTGTGGTAGTAAAGTTTTCAATAGGAATATGATGACACCTTGAGGAAATCACATTTTCCACATAACTACAGAACAGAAAAGACAGGAAATATTTAATTAGGTAGGCATAGCTTAGGCAAACTCCTCACTGACAAATGCAGAACTAAAGGTAGGAGAGAGTGGTAGAAAATAACAGGAAAAATATGTTACCGCCAACAGTTAGATGCTCTTGACTATAACAGTATACTGGACTCAACAGTGAGGGATGGCATTTTAACAAACCGACTGAACTACAAACACCACAAATAAGTTATCTCTTTTTCAGAGGTTTCAGAAAACCATAACACCATACTTTTCACTGTGATTTCTAAAGCCTTTTTGATGAGAAACAAAATAACCACACACAGTTTTTTCTCTACACAGTTGTTCTCACCATAGGCACACTTCTTGGCTAGTCTCAGCCACGATCTAACCGTTTTCTGTAACTTTTGCAGAAGGAACAAAGGGGCCAGAGCACACCAGAGGATCTGTTCTGGCTATTACTGGCACAGGCAGACTCCAGAGGGGAAGAGGATGTCAGTTCTGAGAAAAGAAGGAATTGAATGCATCCAGATCCTGTTTAACCAACTCATTCCCACAAAACTAACCCAAATAAAATTGAACTGGCATTTGAAAAGCTTTCTGGTTTTTTTCAAAATATCACCACACACCAGATCTTCTACCAGTTACTGTGAGCTAAGGTAAAATAAATAAACCAGAAGTCGTAGCATAAGAATTCCTTGCCAAAATGTATTAACTTCACATTATCATAAACCCCTCAGAAAAATGAAAGGAAGAAGGATGTTATTGCTATAGTAGATGATCTCTAAATAAATACAAAGACACATTCTTGTTCTCTTATATTAATCTCTCAGTTTCTACAGCTTCCTTTTTTTATCATAGTTTTTGATTATGATGGTGGTGGCTCATAATCAGATACTTTTTGTTCCAGTGGTTGCCAGAGAAATACAAAGGATAGAGTTTGACTGTAGGGTGTGTCTAGCTGTCCCGGACAGGGCAAGGCCAGCTTCTGGATACAGAGCACGTAGTCAGATAAATGTTTGTATTCTCAAGTGTTTCTTGTTTACCTTTTGGTTTCTTTGTATCACAGGCAGCTTTGAATCCTTTGTCACTGTGCATGTAGCAAGCTACAACATAGAAATATTAAATAATACCACAAAATAAATGGAAATGTAATGCTGATCTTTCAAAAGATAAAAACGTTAAACTCCTTTTTTGTATCTTTGTATTACTCTCCGGTATGTAACCTCTCCCCAGTAATCAAGCTCTGAGAATTAAGGCTGAGAATGGTCATAACACCACTGAGAGTGGTGTCATTAAAAATATCATATGGCACAGCTCCTTGCACAAAACACAGCTGCTTAGCAGATTTAGTTTAAGAATTTTAACTGAGAAAATAATCCATGATCATTTAGTTGAACCTGTAGTTTCTCTTACGAAGATTCAACTATTTATCTCTGAGAAACTTTTATTTCATTGTTTAACTCATCACTGACACTCCTCCAATGCTTTTGTATTTTCATGTTAAGCTCTTCTCACAAAGCCACAGCTACTCTTTCTTCCTTCCAGGTACTAACTTTTCTCACATTAGCCTTCATTTCTGACTTTTGCCAACAAAAATGCTCTTCAGTTCTTGTAAACATTCACCTCAGCTCTAGGCAGCTATCAGCTACAGCCAGAAATTCCTCATGGGGTTTCACTACACAGATGTGTCCACAAAGAGAGTGTGTGACAGGTTTTTTCTATCCTCACAAAGAGAAGGAGAGAGCATGGACACACATGAAGGCTCTGTGGGGAGTGGGTTGAGAAGACCACATAGTTGTTCTGACAACAGCAGGGCTGGCTTTCTGCACACAGGACATGTGCTTTCAGGACAGATGCCAATGAAAGATGGACCTGTCTCCTTCTAGACAGTCTCATTACTCTGAAACATGATGAGCTCTCAGAAATGCACTATTCTGAAGCACTGTAAAACAAATAAGGACTGCACTGAGGTATGCATTCTTGTCTGGCAAGAGATAACAGAGGTATTCTTACTAGTTATTGTAAATCATGAAGTTATGTGGCTAGCTTTTACGCCATAATCTGGATTCATCTCACAGTATTTGTGCACATCCTTATCAACTAGCTGGAAGGGGAATTCTTGGGGCATAAGACACAGAACCAGAATTGCATCCTTTTTCATAACTTTCATTTGGAACTGAATTGCTAGTTTACGTTAGTCCTTATTTTCCACCTCATTCTCAAATTAAAGTAGCTTCACTAATCTCCTCGCAAATTATTTCATTTATTTTTTTCAGTGGCCGTTGCAGGAGCAGGCCACACACACCAACACTCTCCATCCCCTCCCCATATTATGCAAACTGATAAAGGAAAGAAAAAATGTGTGTATGGTGTATGTCTTGTTCAGCAACTGGTTATGATGCAGACAGTAACTAGTGAGGTTATATAGTTTCCACAGTGACTGTCTCATTGGAATTATCTATTTCTGGAATTCTATCAGAGATCACCAGTGTGGTTAGGATTGAAGTGTTCTGGATCAGGGTTGGCCATCATCTAAGCAGTAAGCAACAGAAGAATTCATTTCCCCAGGAATATTTTGGGGAAAATTAAACCACCTTGCAAATGGCAGAAACATACTAAGATGTATCTCAATTTACATTTTCATCCCATTTTAATAGTTACTACTATATAGCCTATCAAATTATGCTTTAAATGACTATGAATGTGTCATGTTAATTCTATGACTATCTGTAGAAGTACTTGTCCCCCTTACCATTACAATGGAAAGCATTAACCTATACATTACTGCAGGATTGGTGACAATACTGGAGTAACATAGTCTAAGCCAAAGTTTAGATTTCTGAAGAGCAATCACTGAATCTTGCTCAGCAGGATCTGTAAGCCACCATGCCATATATAACCTATACTCCATCTATCAACCTGAATGTACCTAGTAATGTTTCCCAAAGGCATTACTTAGTCAAATTTAACTCAGAAGGTGAAATTACAGAAGCCAAAGCATTTACTAAGTCTTTGTGATATTTTCATTAGGGACCCCATTTCTGTCAGCCTCAGCCTTTTCACTATTTGCAAAGCCAGACTTTATGGGAATTAGATTCCACAGTAACTTTCACAAAATATCCACTCTTTTCTGCTACACAGAAATAGTACATATGCTTGGTTTTGCTTTTAATTCTTACTGATCTTCATTGCTACAGAAGTCTCTAGAAGAGCAGCCTAGAAGATTGATAATGAAGCTGAGCACAAAACACACTGAATTAATTTTCTCTTTTGCTAAAAACTGTACTTCACTCAATTTCTTTTTTTTTTTTTTTTTTGTAAAATCAGATAAACATTTGACAAACTAAAGGCATGCTAACTGTTGATATTTGTAAAACAACTAGGAGACTGACAATGTAACGAATGTGCCTTATACTATCATTTTTGAATCAGTGCCAAGTTTACCTACAGAAAGATAACCTAAGTTCCCAATGAGTCCAGTGCTATTTCTTTCCACCTTTGCACTACCTTCAGCCTAAGCTTTTGGGTGCACCTTTGTTTTGCATTGTACTGAGACAACACTGCACTTTCGGCAAAAGTACTCACTTCAAATCTTTACACGGATTTAGAATCATGAGTAGAGCTGATGCACAAGAATATTGTTGTTTCCTTATGTATTATCTCTCTAGGCAGCACACTGAGGATCTTCTCATTTCAGCATATTGTATGCCAGAAACGCCTCTTGTGCTTCAGCTGCTTTTAATGCAGGAAGAAGCAGCTTTGCTCAAAAGGCAAGATATATTGCTTCGCTATGGCAGGAGAGTTATTAACAGTAACGGTGACCAAATTCTAGAACTATTACCACCTTTTTAATTTAGCAGCACATTTCAGAAGGAGAATACCTGTGCAGATACCCACTTGCTTAAATCTAGTCTTGAAGGACTTTAATTCAGGATTGCGGTTGTTCCCCCTTGATTACAATGAAGCTCAATGAAACAAATAAGAAATATGTACTGGAAGTAAATGCAACTTTTATTTTTAAAATTGAATCGGCCTAACCCCATGTTCACCACTTCCTACATATGCCATTTTGCTTAGGGTGTGAGTTCCGTGACACACTTTCTTAAATTTTGATCCAATCCTAACAAGACAGCTGTACTGACATAAAGCAAGCTAATAAAAATATGTCTATGTTAGGATTTTGTACAAAGGCTATATTCTTAAACATAGAGGTAAAAATTGAGAAAAGCTGTAAAAGTACTTACCAATTAGATACTAGGTTATATATTTAATGTGCAATAAACCAAATGTTTGTTATAAATTATGTGCCATTGGAAAACTTCAGTGAAGAGTATAATGGAAGGAAGTTGAAAGGAAGCTGGGGAAAACCCCTGAACTCCCACATTGTATGGCTCTGCAGACAAAAATCTCCTCTCTCATTAGCTCACCTTTGGCTAGTGATCTCTGTCCTGTTGCATCTGGCACAGCTAGACAATGTGTATCCAGACCTAAAAAAGAGTTTTGGGATCCACCACTGGGTCGGGAAAGCTGGACCTCCTGGCTTTCTGCTGCTTCTCCACAGTCTACTTCTGGCGGTTCATCAGAGTGAATCTGTACGCAGAAAGTTAAAGGCTGATCACCCTCTTCTGTGGCAGAGCTGTTAACTAGGTCACGGCAGGACTGCCTCTCGGAATAAACCACTTTGGACGTTAAGGAAGATGATGACTCCCGGGAGTTGAATGTGCTTTCAGGAGAGGAGAGAGAACAAGATGCTTCACTTGACAGAGTTGTGAAAGAAGACTTCTGCTGATCCTGCATTCCAGAAAAAAAAAAAAAAAAAAAAAAAAAAAAGGGGGGGTGAGATAAAAATATTTCCACATTATTCCTGTTCCCAGGTTCTGCATGTTATAGATATGCAGTTGAAATGCTAACTGACTGAAAATTGATGTAATCTGATTAATTATCCATCCAAACAAGCCTGAGGTAGGGTAGCCAATCTCCTACAGAACAGTAACTTCAGAAACTAAGCCACAAGGAAGCCAGAGGTAAAACAGATAAAAACCTGGCAATGCCTAAAAACAATAGACCAAGGGAAAATATTGCATTGAATGTAGACTTCCATGCTAGGTCTCACACTCACATTCACTCTTTAGTTTGTCTTCACTTTCTTGGTCTTATCAAGAGTACAGAAGAAAAACTGAATTAGCCATTGAATATGAAGTTACCTTGAAGCATTCAATAAATCCACCAATGCCATAACCATGGATAGACAGAAATGGACCCAAGCACTGATGTGTCTTGACCTTCTCAGTACACAGAACCATTTTACCTGGTCCATTCTAGGGATTAATTATTCACCAAGACAGGAAGGTTGATGGGTAATATGATGTCAAGTTAATGGTAGAAAGAAGAACTCATGGGACAGAGGGCAGGAAAAGGGGAAGGGTACAAGATTTGTGCTGCTCATTCACCTGCTAAGATTCATCCTTCAGCACATAAATCTGGAAAAGGGCCACAATTTCACTTAGAAACACATCAGAAATCATTAAGACATCTTAAGGTCCTCCATACTGTACTTGTCACCCTGACTCAACAAGAGTGCATACAACCAAAGAGGTCTTGGAACATCTTACAGTCATCATTAGGAGCTAGGAGCTGAATAAGAGAGGGTATGATAGATGCACAATTTCATGTAAAGAGAAGTTGAGAGAAAGAACAAAGTTTTGAAAAGTATTTAGCTTTCCAGACAAGCAAATAGATGCCCAAGTCTTTGTCTACAGTAGGCGTTTACACTGATTGACTTGTACTAATATCTGGTCACCAAAAGCAACTCACAGAGGAAGAACTAGCACTAGTCTGCTTCTTAGCCACAAAATATCACTGAAAAGATGAGCCAAGAAAGTCAAATACACAAGTAATACATACACAAACACACAAATATACATACAAATACCCAGAAGAGGATTAATTGACAGTAATAAATGAAGTAATGGAAGACAAGGTGCCACAAAGACTTATGGTGAAGCTCTTAGCAGAAACTATCAGAAAGCATGATGAGATCGTCATGATATAAAAGCCAGATTTCTTGTATCTGCTACTGCTGAAATACTCCTTGTGCAAATCATCTGATTCTGGCACTGGCCAGAATTCTGACTTGATGGGCCAGAGTTCTGGCAAGTTTATGCTCTCAATACATATGTAGAATAAATTTGTGTAAGGATTAAAACAGATGATAACTAGCCTGGAAGCATTGAAAATTACTGAGAAGGTGTTGCTAGGGAAACCTGGGCAAGCTGCAAACACAGTAAAGTGACTAGCTTGTAATATGCATTTCTAACCTGGTAAATTAGAAATAAAATGTATTCATATAAACCAAACCAAGGATGACAATTTTTTTGGATTATGATATATATACTTCTGCAATTCAGTGTTGCTGTAATGTATACTATTTCCTTTTTACATTAAAAAAAAAAAAAAAAGCAAAGTTGATTTGCCTTCCTGTGCTTGAATCTAGCTGTATCATGTATCTACTAACCAATTCAGAAGATGAGGGCCACCAATATTAGATTGTGGATCACCACTTCTTTGTATCACTTGCTTCACTTGTAAATTTTCAAAGCCATTCCTCCAACACTCTGCCAAACACTGTGAGACTAGACTTAATTTATATTCCTATTACAAGAAATACAACATTGTGTTTCAAATGCATTTTTATTTTTAAAAAGGAAACTTTCACAAAAGCATCCTAAAGCAAAAGACAAGGTGATGCTGTCATAAACTACATGTACGAGTGATAAAAACACCCTTGGGAACACAGGTGACCTGAAGCACTTAATCTAAGAGCTCCTAATGTAAATACAAATTGTTGAAGCATTTGTACAGTCAAACAGAACAACCAAACTGTAAAAGCTCTTCCTCCCATGGTGTGAATGGTCTAATTTCAATTGTTCAGAGACAGAAAAGGAAGATGTTAGATCTCACCTCTATTTTTTTGGCATTTGTTCATGCAAAAGAAAGTGCTGTTGAAATGAAAACTGTGCCTCACTGAGTGGAATATATTTGTGTTTTCATTTTCATTGTGTGTTAAATTAAAAAAAAAAAAAATGTGGGTGAGAATAAAGATGACTGCCAGAATGTTTCTTTTTCTCTACATATGTGTTGTGGGATTTTTTTCTTTGGCACCATAAATGTTTACCTAAATTACTCGAGTGGTTCCTTTGGAAGTTTTGCAATGATCCACATAATAATAAATCTCCATTTTAGGGACATTTCTAAAGCAGATGCTTGAGCCAGAAGATCATAAGAATTCCACTGGAGATCAATGAGTCTCTAGGCATTTTTTAGAGAAAAATTATCACCACAAAACACTTCAACTGCTCTTTTGAAACTGCTGTGATCTATTGTCTCAACATAGCTCATGGTTTTTGAACTGTAAAGCTATTCACATGTGAAGAAATTAATGTAGACAGTCATTTTAACTTTTGTCCTACAGATGTTAAAATTTACTTGTTCCTCACTTGCTGTTTTCTTCCACGGTACCCAAAAGCATGGAAAAACATAGAAAGCTCATGACTACTACTTTTTCCAAGTTTCAGAATGGTTTGGGTCAGCAGAGAACAGAACAGCAAATTAAAACTTTGTGCTAGAAGTACAGCAAAATGTTTGCTACTCTAACACGTAACAGAGCCTGCACCTGGGTTTCCAAACTAATAGTTTTCAGTCTGGAGTTGGTCTCAAGAGGTTTGGAGGACTTTCTTCTTAAGACAGCATCGGGTTGATTTTCTAGAATGTCCATAGCTCCTAATTTCTATTTTGCAAAGTCCCTTTATCACTCAGGAGGAAGAAGTGCAACTTTTAAAAAATATAAAAATAAAAAGAAATGAACCCCAGTCAATGTCTGTGGCATTCCTGATGCTGTGCTAGGTTCCCAGGATGAGTATCTCTCCCAGTAGTAATCTGTGAAGATTCAAGCAGACCTTCCAAAAATGGTGTACCCACAGAGTATCAACCTAAATCCATCCCTGTTTGGGACCTCACAGCTTGGTTCAAAAACTCCGCAGCAAATAAACAGGCCACAAGCAGTGTTTAACCAGCCTTCCCCGAGACAATCAAGAGCTCCACTCCTCGAATTGACTTTCCACTTAGAAACTGTGCTTTCCCAGTCCTTCCAGTGTTTTTCTTGCTCCAGTACTTGTCCAGAAGGGAAAGGGGTATTAAATTGGGTATTTAAAAGATGACTCTGACTTGCAGTCAAACACAGCTGCACTGGTACTTAACTGTTCCTACCCATCACATAAGCAAGCTGAGCATAGGGCAGACCCATGGCAGCTGGAACTTATTCCAGTGGCACTTCTGGGATGAAAAGATGACAACTTTGCTCAGAAGACACAACTTTATCCATGGGAGAAAGGACTTTAAGCTGGGGATGAGGTGAAGGGAAATCAGAGAGTTTAAGGCTGAAGAGAAGATAACCTTTAAGGGAAAGGCTGAGGAAGCAGGACCTCTTGGCACCTGCAGCATTGCCTACCTCCCACGTGTTCCCTGCTCACACGTGGAGGCCAGCACTCAAGAAGAGCATATGGGAAGGAGACAAATGGACATGGCCTCTGCAGCAACAGTTTGACAAGCAGCAGGAAGCCAGAAAAACAGAAAACTAAAACCCAGCACCTGTTTATACCTCATCATCTGGAAAAATGCAGGCATTCGCTCAGCAGCGAGCGATGGAAAAGACATCTTCAGCTTCTTAAAGGCAAGCCACTGAGGTATAAAATTTAAGATGCTTCATTATCGGCCCTCAGCCCAGAATAATTCTTGGAGACGTATTGCCAAGGTTCTTATTTTCTCTGATATTTATAGCCGCTCAGCCACATTTAACTTCCAGTTAATACAGGCAATAAAGATTCACGTTTTACACAGTGAACACCATGCACCTCCTGAGTGCCAGGCAGACTGGTTTGCCATGACTAATGTTACACAACTGTTTCAGAAGAGGAAGTGAAGACTGACTTATCTGACTGAAACAGAAGGGGGCATGTGGGTGACAGTGTGACATATGCTCCCAGCTTTATGCAAGTTAATTAAAGACTGCCAGACAGGCAACCCTGAGCATGACATCTCCTTTTACTATTGCCTGTGACTGCACAAGCTTCTCCAGCTCATCTGTATATTTCAAATTTGTTTCTGCTTCACTGTCTCTGTACCAGTCCCAACTACTGGATGTCATTTCAGCATGCCATACAGGAACCTGTACCACACCAGTGAAGCATCAGACACTTCCCCTCTGTGAGATGCAATGATTTAGTATTAAGCATGTTACTGTGTACTCCTCAGTGTCAGCTTTCAGCTGGGGAAGGGAAAGGCTTGAACTCAGGATTCCTGATTTCACCTGCATTACCACCCCAAACCAGATTACTCATTTCTAAACACAGAATTAAGTAAACCTCGTATCTTAAAGCACATGTTAGGGGAGATGAGATCATTGGGAAAAGGAACAATACAGAAACAAGATTAATAGGGTGATAAGTGGCCAATAATTGGGCAAGTCAATTTGATTAGACACATGGGGGTGCATAGTGCTTATTATAATTTATGAAATGAAGCGATGCAAGAAGGAATATTCTGGGCAAATACTCTACAGCAAGAGAGAAAAATGGCGTAGATTTTGGGAGGATGCCCATCTTTTTTTATAGTCTGTTTTTCAGAAGTAAAGAACCCATTTTATCACCTTAAGAAGAGGCCTCTTTCCCCTCACTTCACTGCCACAAAATCAGCTTCAAATTCAGCAGTTTTAAGAACAACTCACTCAAATACAAATCTGTTGGATGATGCTACCAGGGTCACAAAAAGAAAGAAGATTTGGGTCTGATTAAAGAAAAAGAGTAGTATGAAAAATTAGGTTTAAAACCTTGTAAAGAAAAGACACAGCATGTGTGTAAGGTAGAGTGACACCTTCCTTTCTCTAGCAAGATAAATATGCCTCCATCTGAAAGAGCTGTTCTTTTACAGTGAGAGGTTCCCAGTGGTGCAGGCTGCAATCACTGCACGCTCTGCCACAGGGCAGGGACCATCAATGCATCCTCATCTCACAGGAATACAGCATGAGCATTTCCAGCCACTTTTTTAGGTTATTCCTCAAAGGTCCACCACCTCAAGAAAGTTTTGTTCCAACTGGCTAGCAAGAAGAAACAAGCTAATTACTGTAACACTTACCAAAGGAGGAGGTGGTGTCTGGACTGTGTAGGGGGGAGGTGGTGTGTCTGTTATTTCTGGATCATCGTGTTCACTTTCACTGTAGCATTCTGAGGCAGATATGAGAAATGAACAAAACCAAAGTGTTAGATGGACACTCATTCATTCCTTGCAGTGCTGTGGTAACAAAAGATCACTGAGTAGTGTTTCTGGACTGAGGACCATGCTGTAACAGGTCAGTGTCTCCTACAGTGAAAATTAACCCACTTGTGGTAATGTTACACTATTTCATGGCAACTTTTCTTTTTTTCTTTTTTTCTTTTTTTCTTTTTTTCTTTTTTTCTTTTTTTCTTTTTTTCAAGTAAAAAAATTTGACAATTTGCTATGACAGGAAACACTAGGTGGCACTGCTCTAGATAACTTCACAAATAGGTTTGGGGTGGGGTTTCTTTCCTCCCCCCTTTGCAGCCTTTAAAAGAAAGGCTGCATCGTTTCCAGTATTAAATTAGGGAGACCTTTTGCAAATAATAGATGCTGTCCCTTAATCTCTGTAATCAGTAAATTTTCCTGGAGCTAGCAAGAGGCATTAGTGTTTTGTTTGCAATTTTGGAGAACACAGGTTGCTCGCATGGCGCTTCAGAAACCACAGAGCAGCCTTGTGAGAGTCTTCTGTTGCCACATGGTATCTTACATAGACATGCCATGAAGCATAACAGTACATGTCCTGAGCTAGTACTAAAAGTAAACACAGTACTCTAGGGCTATACAGCCCACTTTTTTTTTTTTTTTTTTTTTTTTTTTTAATAAAAACTAAGCTGATAGTATCTCTCAACATGTGTCAGAGAGGCAGTCACCTTGTTATTTCTTTCAAATACCTGTGTAGCAAGTGAAAGCATTTTCTCAGGTGTTTTTTTAAAAGTGGATTAAATGAAGTGATAGTCATTGACAAAATGAGACACAGAAAAAGAGAGGCAGTAAGTTTCTGGTTCCTATTCCCAGGGCCTGGCTGTAACCACTGGGCAAGATCACTTCCCTCTGCTAAATCTCCCAGGACGCCTCAGCCTCCCACATCCAACCCTTCTAGGAGCAAGGGTGTGCATCCTGCCCTGTGCCACGTGGGAAGTGGCAGTGTTCAGTGTTCACCCCACCTGACTGAGCTGGGGACATGAGAGGTTGCAAAGACATAGTCAGAGCTTAATGAGAACGACATGAGTAAGTGCCAAGTGTCACAAGAGCAGAGGCTGCCCCTGTGGCCTCCACAGGAGCTGGCACTCTGCGCTGCCTCCGCTGGCTGCGCACAGCAGCTTGTGCTGTCCAAGCGCAGCTGGGTCTCTCCAGTGGAAGCAACCAACCTACTCTCTTCCCAATTAGGCAAGGGTTGTTTATGTTCTGTGTGTACTTTGCAAGAGCTGGACTTCATGGGTTTACACCACTAGAAAGCAGTATGTTAGCTCTGTCTCTGGGAAATCACCTGTGATTATCTCATCTTTTATTTAAATTAATACCCACACACTTTCTTTTTGTGCATGTCATTTAGGGGATTTGAGTAACGACAGTGTGAGGTGAACCAAATTTTAAGAGAAAAAATAATTATACACGAGAGAGGTTTCTAAGATGTTAACAAAGTATAACTTAAAGAGATTCATTACTTTTTATCCCCATACTCTGCAGAATTATAGGATTTTTAATAGCATAGCTGCTATTCTCTTTACTGGAAATATGTGCTGGTACATCTTAGCATAAAGGACTGCGACTGGCTGCAATAAGGCTTACATCAAATTCTAAGGCTCTATTAATGCCTTCTTGAATAACTGTTAGTAAAAAGCTTGTTGTTTCTACAGCTCCACTTTTAGGTACACAGAAGAACCAAAAAAGAATCAACAGCTGTTTCTGATACTCTAAATAGGCAAATGGGATTGGAGGGGGTTCTAAAATGTGTAGAAAGTACATGAACATACAAGAACTGTCATAACAAGAGCCAAGACCCTCCTGAAGAGTTATGGTGTGTGATACAGAGGGGAGAACCAGGTCAACAGGAACAAGAAGTGACTGTGGGTAATGACAGCATTTTTCTGAAATGTAGTAATGCTTCTGCAAGGGCTCATCCACCCAGGTGCGTTGGTGGGGTGCTGAACCCACACTCAGGGCAGCTGCTGAAGCACCTGTGACAAAACATGTGTGGAAAGACAAGGAGGTGTTTGACACCTAAATCAGAGTGCCTTTTTCTGAAGGGCAAAAATGGGCCACCAACTTCAACAGCTGAAGAAATCTTGGCTATGTTATGTTTACTGCAGGGTAGTTAGAAAACCTGCTGCAGAGGTTATTGAGATTATTTTGTATCCTTCTGCCATATTTTTTTTTTAATTAAGATTCGTGGGCTGACTCATTTTGAACTGTTTTATAATTCTTGACTTGGCTAACACAGCAAATACTACATTTTCTGAGGCTTAAAAAAATAATTTGTTTTCATGTATAGAATTTTGGCCATCTTCATCTTCCATCAAAGTCCTCCTTTGTGAAAACATGTACAACGGGTTTGACACTTCCTTCCCAAGTACAATTACCATGCAGTTCTTGCTACACAGCCTAATACTCAATATAGCACTTTATCTGAATTATCTCAGACTGTTTTGATACAAAACTGGGTTCAAAGAGGACACAGGCATTTTGGAGGAATTTGGGGGTATGGAAATTAACAAGTTTCCTTACATGAAATAAAGAGGAACCATGAACTGAAAACAAAGAAATTGATGGGACCTGCTTAATCTCCAGAAATCAGTGGTATCTATGTTTATCAGCCCCAAAGCTGCTTTTAGTGGCAGGGTATAAATGAAGTCAGAGTATAAACAGAGCCAGATCAGACTAATCAATAATAGAATTAAATGTCCAAAGCCTGGATATAAACCACAGCAGAAGGGATGTAGAGAGGAGCATTTCAGTGCTTAGACAAACAGGCTGCATCATGTAAGTGTTCATACTACCACAAATACCAGTTTCTTATTCATAATGACAGCTCCTTCACAACCTGAGCTGTTCTAAAAAAGGCACTGGATACCAATACTCTAAAAATGAAGGGCCAAAAACCCAGATGATATATATTCCTCAGGCCAGAGTCCATCCCTGGTTTGCTAATATAATACTACCAACAGCACTTCTCATTCTAAACCAGCTCCCAGCATGTGTGTCCTCACCAGCACCTTTTCCAAGCACTCTGACAGGTGACTTGCTTTGTCCTCTGCCCAGATTTCTGATTTGAGTGCAGGTATTCTCCATTATAAAATTCTACTAGGTCAATATGCAAATTAAGACAATAAATAAATTGCTAGGGAACTTTTGAAATTACTCATTCCACAATGAACTCTTGGGTTGAGCTCTGAAGGAAATTGTAAGCTTCAGTACATCACTACTGCCCCTGCCAAAGATGCTGTTATTGGAACCCCCAGGAATTAAGGAGACAATAGGGACAGGTCTACATTGCACAAGATGTTCCCAAACTAGCCAGCTCTTGGGTCACAGCACAACTCCTGTAATATACCTTACCAGCTCAAAACCCAAGAGTAGCATAGTTGTTTCTCTTCACACTTGGTAGGCTTAGCAAGCCAGCAAACTGCCAGAAAGTAGTTACACACCTCTCAGGATCACCAAGTGGCACTGTTTCTCACCACTGTTTCTTCTCCTGTGATTACGCTGTGCTGTGCCAGTGTGGTTTCTCTGAGCTCAGCTGGTAGACAGACCGAAGTTGACAATTTAAAAGAAAGAGCTGACAAAAATTTGGCCAAGCAAAAACTGTGAGGAACATGATGTAGTTACACACTGAAAGCACCATTAGGAACATACCTTCCTCATTCTTCCCATTGGGTGCCTGAGGGTCTACAGCCATCCCCAGCTTACTTAGCCACCTGTGTTTGAAATGGAGGGAATACAGTTAGGGATACTTGCATGCTGTTCAGATAGAGTTTTGGCCCTTTCAGATGTGTTCTACATTATCACATCTCTTTTTATTAACCTGAAGAATAAATGTGAAAGTTTCTTCCTATTTCTTAGATCATCTTCTAGAAAGGCACCAGTTACCTGAATATTAATATTCCCTGCAGTGAGCAGAACTAGTTACCTGGGACATCTTCTTTCCCTGATCCTGAAAAAATCAATACTGATGACCAAGGAGTTGCATTCATGGAAGCTAAAGGAAAAGTATGTGCGCTATAACACAATGCCAGTGGCTTAGTCTTGCTGCTGAGGTGCCATCTTTCACCAGAGATGGAGCAAAAAGGCATAGGAGCCATGGAAGATAGTGTCAGCTGTGCTGGCCATAGCTATCACAGCACAGTCTAAGTATCTAAGCCATTTAAAACCAGACTTTCTGACCATTATATACTGCTTTCTTCAACTTTTTATGACTTTTGGTTTTAGTAAGTCTCACTTCCTGTGTTGCTTTAAGTTATTTGCAGTTGGGTTTTTTTCATTTCTCTTCCTAGGTGGCTGCATTTTTCTAGTGCTAGAAACAATCCCTAGATAACCTTTTGTATATTTTGTTTGCCTGTAGACCATTCAGATCTATCCAGGTTTTAAGAAACTAGCCACTAAAAAAGCTTAAGCCTTCCACATGAAAACTCAAGGCCTAAATAAGGAATGTATGAAGGGCCGGAATTAAGATTCATAACTCTGAAAAAACATTGTCTCTGATCTTGATTCTTCTGAAGCAGTGGGAAATTTGCTAGTAAGATCAGTGTCAAAGTAAATGGATTCTTAGACTGCAGTATGAACAAAGCCATATAATTCAAGAAGGCAAAATGTCATTTCTGTAAGAGTGAATTGTTGACTTTCTTCTAACAGTTAATCATAACAGAATGATTAAAAAATAATAATAAAATGAAATCTTAACAAAAGCAAAGGTTTGTTAAAATATCTAGGACTTCATTTAACCACAAGGTCAGACAGATCTCTAGTAACCATGTGCAACTGGCCAGGTAAATGCACACAGCTAGCCAGCACACATGTACTTCGCATGTGTGCATGACAATAGCAAATACATGCTAAATTAATGAAGCAGATTACTGTATTAATAAATCCACCGTTGATTTGATAGATAGATAGATAGATAGATAGATAGATAGATTAGATAGATAGATAGATGATAGATAGATAGATAGATAGATAGATAGATAGATAGATAGATAGATAGATAGATAGATATGCATGAAGAGTTACAAAAGGTCATGATCCATCAAGCATTTATGCACGCCAGTAACTCGACACAGGCGAATGCCCCAGTGAGTTCAGTGGAACCACTTATATGCATATGTATTTGTGGGACTGGAGCCAAGAGGACAGATGTCTTTTAGTCTATTTTGACTTATGCATGAGTATGCATGTACATTATGTATTAAATACATGTATTTTATACTTTGCCAAGGAAAACATCATCAGTTACAACAGTGAGGAATTGTTATTAGTGCAGTACAGTATAAGCTGCTAGGCTACCTAAATTTAAGCCAAGATGAAATTTACTTGAGAAGTGGAGTTTGAAGAAAGCCATTCTGGGGGCATAAGACCTGGGACACCTACACAGATTTCAATCATTCGCTCACATGAGACTAAACATTTCAAAAGTGTCATTAAGACACTGAGAATTTCCAGCTGGGCTCCAAACTGCCTGCTAGGACTCACTAACGTCCTCCTTTAGATCTATTTTTCCTTTCCTTTCTCCCTACACCCTTCCCTCTCTTCTCCCTCAACAGAACTATTTCTGTCCAGCAGTCCCTTGTTCTCAGTCATCCTCAGCCCATCTGCCTCAAGAACTTCACACTCCCATCAGGAGCTAGCTCAGATAGGAAATGTAACAATACAAAAATGAAGGGTTATCTCCCCATCAGTATGCTCTGTGCTGCTCCAAGGTGCAAAGGACAAAATGTTCTTTCCATCTATACTTACTTGTATGCATCTATAGAGTACTGATTTATGAATGTGTACTACACTACTGTAGTATCGTACAATTCTGTATCTGTAGCCCTTTTGTAAGGTCACACACATTCTCTCAACCTCTATCCTTTTCTGTTGTGGTAAATATGTATGAGGTCTCCTGTTTATAGAAGGAAAGAACAGTCAGCGCCCTGTGAAGAATTTCACAAGGATCACCAGCAGAGCCATGATTAAAATCCTGACCTGACTACCATAGAAGCTCTCTTTCCAACTAAATTGTACAACTTTGGCCATTTAATGCAATAGCATTGTAAACAGACTGCAATCTGAAGTAAAAAAAAAAAAAAAAAAAAAAAAAAAAAAAAAAAAAAGACAAAGATATGAGATGTATCTCAATCTGCAAAAACTAGATCAACAGAAAATGATGCCTGTTTCTGATAGCTCAGTGGCTTCTAAAATGACACTATTCCTATCAATTTTTAATTCTTGAATTAAAAACCACATGAATGAATTGTTGTTCTTACAGACATTTGTGCACATAAGATTTCTGGTCTGTTGTGAGGATTGTTTAACTGCAACATAGTTTGGTGGTGAAGTAAACACTTACTTACATTAAAGAAACAGTCCCTTCTATCCCTTTAACCCTCCTTGTTAAATGACATGCTACTATGAAAGCAGATACTATTATATTCTAGTCCTAGATCACTTCTGGGACTAAACTATATTAAGCTTTTCCCTCTCTTTCTTTTCTTCCCTCCCCTCACTTCACTTCTCCCAAGGTGATGAGCTGCTATCAAATCTTTGCGCCTCTCCAACAGAAAGGGATTTATACCAGCAAATGTCAGGAAGATTAGTATCAGAATCAGCCTAATAATGTGATTCTAATTTCAACTGTCATTAGTGAACAAATAGCAGTATTTTCCTTCTGTACAATCACCAGAAAACAAAACAGACTCAGTAAACCCCCAGATAACGTCGTCAACAACCACCTGACAGTGAGAGAATGAACTTTCAAATGGTGTTCTCAGGCGTGAGACAGGATGAAACATGGCCAGTCGCTTCTACTTACGTGTTCATTTCCAGAACATTTTCTGCTGCGAAATAAAATGTCTTGATCTGTGGGTGGCTGATCTTAATAGCACTTTAAGAAAAGAAAAATAAGAGATATGAAGAAAACAAGTTTACATAAGAAAAAAAATAGCTGGATGAATTATTTAAAAATATTTATTTCCTCCACTATATTAATCCAGATCAGCTTATCCATCCATACAGCCTTTTCTTAAAACTCTAGTCTATTTTTAGCTCATTTGCTAGGCACACATTATTCAGAGGGTATAAACTACAGGAACTAAAAAGGAAGGAAGGAAGAATAAAGCAAAGACCTTCATTATGTCATTACATAATTCAGTTGTGTGCCCACATCTTTAACACTGTGTGCAGCTTTACTTCCCCCAGCTCAGAAAAGCATAGTAAGCCTGTAAAAGGTTCAGAGAAAGCACCACAGGTGACCCAAGGTATGGAACAGATTCCATGACTGTTTAATCAGGCTAAGACCCACAGCATGGAAAAATGATGGTTGAGGAAAAGGAGATATGATGAGATACATTAAAATCACAAGCAGTGCACAGCAGGTGAATAAGGACTGACTCTTCACTCTTTTCTAAGACAAGTTTTAGGAGGAACCAAAGAGGCAACTAGGTGGCAGATTTGAAACAAACAAAATGGAGGTAGGCCCCTGACTAACCCCAACAGTTAGTCTGTTGGTCTCAGCCCCAGACAATGCTTTAGATGAACATCCACTATTTTTCAGTCTTTTTTTCCTAAACCATAGTCTCAGATCCTGAGACTGTGTGGCTTCCCTCTTTTGTTCCTCATTAGGTGACTCTGTCCCATGGAAGCACACACACTATTTGACTGGGTTCCAGCAGCCCTCATCACTTCTCTCAGTTCTCCTAACTTACCCCATCCCAAATAAGTGATGAGCAAGTGTTTTCCTCCCAGTCACTGACAGCCAACAGCTGAGAAGGGCAACATTTTCTTGTGGTCCTGTACTATGTGACTCAACCTTTCCTCTGAGAAAACAAAATGAAACTCCCCATATTCAAAACAGCTGTTCCCTTTCTTTGGAGGAGTCAAGCCCACAGTTAGTCTCAAGAACACCTACAGCTAATGTCAGCATGAGACCCGAACAGATGAATGAAGGCTTTCTTTTAAGGGACAGAATAAAAACTATGCTGAGCCTTATAACTTTGAACAGCAGCAACTCCTCTCCAAACCTTTGAAGTGTACTCAGAAGCAGCAGGAAGCCAGTGCTGCATATAGAATTTGGAGAGAATATTTTGAAATGTGTACCCAGCTAAACAAACTTTTTATTCCCTGCACAATCAGGGGCTTCAAGTACAGCCCAAGATCAGTTGCACCACAGTGGCCTAAAGAATAATCCCGACTCAGAGGGAAGCAGCATTACTTGCACCACTACTGACCTCCCCACCTAGGAGAAGGTATTTAAAATAGACTACAACTTATAATCAGTGAAAAAAAGGGAAAAAAAAATGGCATACTGGTTTACTTTTTTATTTGTAGCTTTAGCAGAGCACATCTGGCAGAGAAATTTCAATATTTTTTTTTTATTTTATTTTTTTCCAATATGGTTTTCTTTCAATAGCTCAATTAGTATCTCATTATTTACACAACACAGAAGAGCTCCCCACAGTTTCACTGCCAGGCTCTACTGAGACTGAATTCCTTGCAACATTGTAAAAATCATGCAAAACCAGAGGCAAGAGATAAACTTACTGCTTTTTTTTGCATTCAATTGCTCGGTCCACACTGAAGTCTGGAAGTCTGATAAATCCTTCTGCTTTTTCAGCCTGCAATAAAATAAAATAAAATAAAAATCACCATGTCAACCAGTTAGTAAACTACCAGACTCCAATGCTCAAAGACATTTAATGTGCAAGTGCTTGTTTTTGATGGCTTTTTATAGTGTGAATATATATTCTCATCACCATGGGGACAGATTAACACCCAATGTTTTGGATGATATTTGGTAACAAGAAATATTCCTATACCAGCTACTACTTGTGCAAGTCCTGGATGCTAGAAAGCCACCACTCCTGTCTGTGCAAGTAGCAGAGTGTGAGCATAGGATTTGTTATACACTTCCAAATATCAAAGTGCCCGAAAGGGGAAGGTTCCTCAACTCCTACAACATTCCTCGTCCTTCTCATCTCAAAGCATTTCAGGATTTCTGAAGTATAGTCCGGAGTCTGAAACTGTCAAGGGCAAAATTTACATTTGGATCAAGCCAGGACTAAAAACAGCAGGAAGGTGGAAGAAGCAGTCCCTCTGCAGCCATCAGTGATCATACAACTTCTCTGAACAAATTGACCAGCCACACTTTGTGCATAGACCACAGAAAATGAAACTACTGATTCTCAGCTCTAAAAACAGAAAAGACAGCTGACATGAGTGGATGAATAAGGGTTATATAATCTGTTACATCTGTCTGGATGTTACATACAATCTCAAAGGAGCATTTATTCCATTATACAGCATGTATGTTACACAGATGCATAACAGCAACATGCATGATATATGCATATTTGCAAAATACATGACTATAGCGATGGGAATTGAAAAGTGACCCAAAACGATCCAAGGCAGAGATGGACTGTCCCCCAGGTAACTGTAATGTGGATCATTTTGCAGGGTCACCTATGTACTCCTGTACATGAGCAAGGCAGAGGTGAGACCAGCTGCTCCCATGCCAGGAGGTGAAATGGTCAAGGGAACAGTCCCACACAGCTGAGCTCTGTTGTTAAACACTGTGAACCAGCCCTAAAGAGCTTCGGCCACCCTAAGAGCTATCACTCCCCCCAGTGAACCACCCCTAAAGAGCTATCACTCCCCCCAGAAATCTGCAGGCATGGTTCAGGAAGGTAGCAAAAGCCAGGCAGACATTTAAAGTGCACTGTTTAGATGTAGTCACTCCTTTCTGGACAGGTGAAGGTTTGCTGACCATTGGCATCTCTGTTTTGGGTCAGCTGCACTCTGTGTCAGAGAGTGGCTCCAGCAAAACTGAATTTACCAGTTAGCCTCAAATCCCTGTCCTTGCTGATGCCTGCAGCTGAAACACCTATCACTACATCTATCTATATTCACCCAGCCACAATAAGACTAGGAATCCTCCTAAGAGGAGCAATAATGGAGACAAAAGTTTGTAGCATGTAACATCAGGAAAAACTGTACTTTCCAAGATACAGAAAGTGTTCATTCCTGGACCACTTTTTTTTTTTGCTGCTCCCAGCTCTTATCCCTGGGCACATTAAAATTCTGAAGAAGTATAAAGCAGGTAAAATATACACAACAATTACAAAGACAGAGGATAAATGAAGATGACTGACAGCATCTCAAGTCGCATTATGCATGAATATGAAAAGACTATAAAAAGATGTTCATTGAGACAAGCCTTTGTGCTTTAACACTTTAATGCTTTGAAGTATGAATCTCTGAGAACAGAAATATGGATACAGAATAGATATTTCAGTGGGTGGGTTCCCCACATCTCTGCATATCTGTTCTTCAGTAAACAGTAAATCATGGCATAACCACTCCTGAAGTTATTCATAGTAGAGGTTTATATTTTGCATCTTCACCAGTAAATGGTTTTGCCTGCTCCAGCACAAAAAGAAACAAACAAAAAAACCCAAACAGTTCTTTCTTTCTTTCAGCACAGAAGAAAGAATGATGTTCATCAGCATCTGGGCTGAAAAAAAAATTTATTTTGCAACGTGGCTTCATTTGTACCAAAAAGTGCCTATTTGTTGTTGTGTGTTTTTAACTTTCTCTGATCATATTTGTATCTGTCAAACTTGTTTAGAGTCTGGCTTGGGGAGCTTTTGTTTCCATTCCACAGGTTGAAATTTAGTGAGACTAAACTTATTGACATAACAATTAAAGAAAAAAATGTTGCAAGATTTTTTTGAAGTCTTTTTTTTTTTAATGGATATTTCATTCAATTAGACTTTATGCTAGTATTTTCAACTCAAATCCATAGTCTATCAAAGACACAGGGATGAGCAAATGAGTAGGGGTGAGTAAAGGAGGAGCTCTATTCATGGGCTGCATTGTACTAAAGATAGAGAATTTACTATTCTGCATTTCTGTACCAGAAAGGGTGGTCACTTATTAGACAAGGTGCAGCAAGAACACTGAAATTCCTATTTGATTGCCAAGACCAGTCTAAGAATGCCAGAGACCAACTTCAGAAAAGCGGTTCATAAGGTATCAAAGCCATCATGACACACATTTCTGGATGAGAAACACATACAATGACAGTTGTTTCTCTGCAGTATGAATCAAGAAACCAAATTTTAAAAAAGATTCAAAAGACCCTGTGTGAAAGGATATACCCAGGTACCTACTCACCCATACCCCAATAAATCCAATCCTTGAGCTACATAAGCCACCAGGTGAGTGAGTGGGTGACTATGGTCTGGGGCAGGCTGAGCTTACATGTTACAAATGCAATCACAGCTCCGCCAGTTTTATCTACTGGTGCAGTAGCCATTGATCTAGACTGTATCCTATAAATTGCTTAGGGTGCTGCACAAGCACTCACGAGGAGATTAAATCCATGCAATGCCATTAGTTACTGTCTCTACTGTCAATGCATACACATATTTGATCATTTAGATTTTGCTTTGGACTAGCGAATTATCAGGACTCTGTAAGCCAGTGTGGGAACACTCACCTGGGGTGCTCCTATCCATGCAGAGATAGAACTTGGGCTTGTACCACTGACATATTCAATCAGGGTCTAAATTAGAGGAGTACTCTCTATACTGCTAATGACAATCGTTCTTTAAGTAATTTACATTTACTGGTTTTACAACAGAGAAATTTCCAGATTTCTTATGCAGTATTTTGTAAGTTCCAGTTGGTAAAAGATTATGTTCAGTGCATTCAGGTTCTATATTAATAATGTCAGTGATTTCACATTTATTCATTTATAAGAAAAGTTTAATGTTTCATTTTATGTATGAGTGAAAGTAAGGAGGATAGTGGTGTGATTATTTTAATGCACTATTGGTACACATCTCAGATGTGTCATCTGTATAACAGAAAATAAGGGATTGATGGGTACGTAGTTCCATAATTATCAGAAAAAAAGAAACCAAATCATAACAGTAAAACCTTATGAGTGTAATTACAGTCAGCAAATAGAATTCCAAATAAACACTAGGAACAGAACATGTGGAAGTCATCTTTTCAGTCATTCTTGGAATAAAAATGACATTTTAAATCATTAAAATTGTATAGAAGTCTTAAGTGTTTTCTCTTAAATGTTATCTTTAATGTGACTTCAAACATGCTATTATTTAACTCACACATTTCACTCAAACTTCCTTCAGATTTTATTGCAATTCTGTAAAATAGCCCTAAAAGACTCTGATTAAAAGAACCTTGACCTGTTTCCTATTTAATCAGGATGTTTAAAAGAATAAGCTGTTATCTTTTGTGGTTTTTATGCAGGTTAACCTAACACATAAATTCACACATTTTGCTATGTCAAATTGTAGGAAAATAATTTCAAAAGTAATAACAGTCTCAGCAAATGCTTGGGACAAAAGCATTTTTTCACAGAAAAGGCTTTTCACTCAAAAAAAAAAATCAAAAATATTTAGGAAACATAATGCATGAATACAATGAAGGAGGTTAAGGTCCTTTTTAGTTTGCCTCAATACATTCTCTAAAAGTTGTGTCTTTAGGAGATTTAGTAAATAATTTAATAGATCTTTTTCAGTATTTGAAATTAACATAGTGGTGCAGAAAGATTTTTTTTTATTAAATAGTGCTGTAAAGTCAAAATATCTAGATATTGCGGAACAGCTCCAATCTGCAATTCAGGTTACTCCTCATGGCTTCACCACAGTGTTTCATTGCTGCCCCCAAAAGACCCTGTGGATGCTGGAGGAGCAGTTTGGTCCTCAAGCATTTTCAGTCTTTTTTCTCTCTGCCAAGTATACCACTGTGGCAACCTACAGAACTGTGAATAATTTGTGTAAGATATCGGACCAGAGATCCACAAAGCCTTCAGCACAATCAGCCGACATCAGTGACTTTTTATCATTCATGTAAGCAGCTACTATAACTCAAAAGTGAAAGGTTTCCATTTTAAAAGACTGCAATTATACAGCTCCTGGCAAAGCTGTTGGAGTAAGGAACAATTTAAATGCAGTCAATGGGGGAAAAAAACCCCAAAGATAAATAGTGACAGTAGATCACAGCCTGCAACCCTTTGATTTTATATTTATATTTCTTTTCAGCTGAATCCCCATGACAACCATCGTTAACACATCTTGCTTCAACTCTACTTGGAAAACTAGATGAGCTATCCTAAAGGCCCACAAGACAGAGCCGTTTAGTGCTCTGTCACTTTCCAGCCAACACTATCCAACACAGTTGCAACAAAGCGCAAGGAGCCAGGAGCCTGGGATTACACGTGATGATTTTCCTACACAAGAGTACTGATTCCCTCCAGGCTTTCAGTATGAGAACTAAAACTGCTAAAGGGGCATGCAGCACCACACACTTTCCTCTTCAAACAGTTATCTTCAAGGCTGCTCCCTACAGAGAGCAGTACTTGAAAGAGAGAACCAAAGGTTAACAAAGAGCAGTTGTCCAAGGAGTCTGGTGAATGCACCCAGAAAGTCTGACTGCTCAGATCCATCTTCTGTGTTTCCTTTGCAAAACCAACCCTTCTGTGTTTCTACCTAGTCCAAACACCTTCCCCTCCCCAGGCTGGGGTCACGTCCATGCTGCAAACAAATGTTTACCTGTCTCATGTGATATCCATGTTTTATAAAAAGAGCAAGCATACATGGGAAAAGTTTTGAGGGGAGCCTACCCAAAACTGCTGAGACTACTGGAGCCCTTACTTCACTGTTCCCAGTACTTCAGCTAACCGGTTGAAAGCTAATTTGGATTTGACTGTGTGCTCTGTTTTGCTTTCAGTGAAGGAGAAGCTTGACTTGGGGTGTCTGGATCTGCCCTTGGTGACCCTTCCCAGAGTTTTATTATTTTCTTTTCTTTTGAGCTGTAGCTTTCACAACATATTTTATGTTAAATTGAAGGAACTATTGTCTGCAAATGTCACCACAAGGGTCTTATATCACCTCCCCCAACCTGCCTCATGTGAAAGACCCAGAACCAGAGTGGCTTGAAAGCAAATTAAATCAGAGCAACAGAAACATCCAGAGCTTCAGAGGTGCCTGAAGACAGACTTCACTGAGAACACAATGTCAGCTGAGATTACCTACCCAAATCTGGGACAATGCACATTCCTGTACAAATTCCACCCACTCCCTATTTTCTCCATCTCCATTAGAAAGAAAGGTTAGGTCCAGCACCCTGTTGCTATGCTACAGTTGCCAGTGTCTGGTTGATTGCAGTTTCCACATAGCCACGAACAAAACACGCTTTTTTCTCACTAGAAAGAAACTGGTCAGACAGAGCTATAGGCAGCCAGCGAGCGTCCACCAGTTCCTTTGGCCTCAGCCCTGCTCCTTCCTCCACTACCACCTTGTGCTTCAGCCTCTATAACAGGGGTCATCATGGAAAGCCTCAAGTATGTGAGGAGCAGGACTCTTCCTCTCTCAACACAACTGTGAACTTAAAATTGTGGTCTTGGATGCCCAGTTGGGACCAAGGATTAACTCCACTGAAGTCAGTGGAAGTTCAGGCAGAATTAAAGCCAAGCCAGATAGTAAAAAGAAATATCAAGCAAGCAAGTGAATATGTCACTGGTATTTCTGCTTACTCCTCAGAATAATTATTTTCTGATACTTCCCATGTCTAAAAGGCACATCAGCCATCCAGCTCACCTTTCTTAACGCTGCTTTGCCAGAAGTACAACTGCAATCACTAATTTAGAACAGGCAGTGTTAATAAGGGTTTGCAGGGTATTTATGCCACTGATGACTATCTGTCAGGCCATGTCTTTCAAGTAGAGATATTGTAAGCACTGGGAAAACAAAGCCTTTTGTTTATCTTTTTTTCCTAGTTATCTTATTTCTTTCTCTTTTCTCTTTCTCTCATGCATGTATTTGACTTGGTCTTGAAAGAAAGCTAAATCAGACTACCACAACACCACAAAAAACAACAACCCAAGACCAGCAGAGTTATTTTCACTTTTCCCCCCAAAAAAAGAATAGCTAATACCATATTTAAATGTCATTTTTTTTAATCCTGTTAAAAAACCTGCAATTGAAGGGAGAATATGAAATACTCTTTATATGAATAAAGTTTTGTTTAGAGTTTTGGGGTTAGGTGGGTTTTTTTTATGGTTTAAATTATTTTGTTTGTACCTTGAAAGAGCAATTATTTTTAATGGGGATTACTGCAATAGAAATAAACAAGTGGAAACAACCTTGCATTTGATTTCTTAAAATGCTCTAAGAATTAATAAGTGTTCCTTTAATCTCTCATCTTTTCCCAGGCATGGGACATGCTGATTTCCAGAGCAGTCTGTTTGCATTTAGGAAACTTGATGCCTGTTCACAATTTGACACTAAAGGTGCTGAGTTTCAACGTATGTTGTTGCTAACATCCCCATATCATCTGCATACCCCAATTCTGGGCTCCGTCATTCCATCACTTGAACATGATAGGAGCTTTCTTAGAGGCAGCAGTGCAAGAGAGCAAAGTGAAGGGAATAATTATGTCTGAAACTTCCGATGATGGGCAAGACACCCTCTTTGCCCAATCAAGACAAGCTGTAGCAAACAGCCTAGAGTAAAACCAACTGTTCCCTAGGACTCTGCCATAACCTTTCATTAAAAGAATTACTCCGAGTTTCTCACCATGTCTTCCCTCACCACTACTTGTTCAGATTTTAATTCCTAGTTCTTCAGCTGATTACAGGAATTCAGGGCCTGCTGTTCTTTGTCTCTGTTTCCCACTCACACTGTAAGTGGAGTAGGCTACTTGGGCTGGACTGCCTGGAAAAGAAACACTATCTATATTGGTTGTTCTGAGAGTTCATCCTCTGAAAAGAAAGCTGGACCTTGAATTCAAAACACCGAGTTCTCCTGCAGATTTGACTGCAAGCATTGACTCATCAGAGCAGGAAGTTAATAATCAGCAGAATGTGAAAACCTTTAATCACAATGCTCTGGATGAGACATCAGCAAGACCAGGAGTAAAAATATCACCAACTGGCAGTTCTCATACCTGCAACCCTACCAGTGCAAACTGAGGAAAAAAAAGAATAAATTAAAAAAAAAAAGTCCAAAAAGCAAACCAATAAACTAATTAATGTCAGTGAGGAAGAGGATAGAGAGAGAAGCAGGAGAGACTTCTGAAAATTAAACTAATTAGAAGTGAAGAAGCGTTACTGGTTTGGGTCTTGATAGCGAGTGTCTGCAAACTGCCCATGCCAGGAAAACATTTCCCAAATTCAAATGCCACCAGTGCCTGCAAAGAGCAGCTCTTTAAAGGGCAGAACAGACAGCAAGTTAACATTTTACAAGCACTTCCTAAACTAGAAAACACATAGTTTTCTGCATGTTTCACATTCACATAGACATTTCCCAGATTACCAGAAATGTCAGGGCTGAGAAATAAACCCAGTCATTTGTAGGTCTCCAGAGTGCATTTAAATTGTGACCCCATCTCCCCTTCTCTCAGTCTCAGCAGATGCTGTTTGTCCAGCACCCAGAGCTGGATGGACACTGTACTCACCAGCTGACTGCTGTACCAATACAGCGATGACTCCTTCAGCACACACCAGAACTTTTTCCATTTGTTGCCAATGAAAGCTCCTTTTTCCTTCTTTTTGTAGAGCCATCCTTGACAATCGGCTTGCCCCAGCTCTTTACACGATATCCTCCGTCGGCTCATTATAAAGAACCCTGTGCCATTAAAAATACAGTGTTCTGCTTGTTTAAAAGTGCATTACCAGGAAAGATGTTCCTGCTAATTAAAGATATTAACCTTACTTAGCAATCTCAGCAAGCCATCCAAGCATATTTTAAAATATACTTAGAAGTCATTCAGTTTTATAATGGCTGTGGCAGTAACACACATTCATTTGAAAGGCATTCTGATGTGCAGAAACAAAATAGTAAGCTATAGATAATGCAGACACTAATTATTGCTAAGATAACCATATACAAGTTTTTGTAAATTAAAAATACATCCTTTGATCCTTTTAAGAGAAGCACGCATATATTTCCCTTGACACAGATGCACTGAAAAGAATATATCTATTTAAGTCAGCTAGAGAAAACTATTATGCCAAGTACATGAAAACCGCTAGTGTGTGTGTATGTGCAGGCAGCTGATTCCACCTCACTGATTTCCAGCTTCGATTCAATTAACATACCACAAGGATTTAGTCCAAAGGAGCAGCCCGTTGTCATTTTTCTCAGAATCAGTGGAGTTAAAAAGCAGCCTTCCACCAGCTGAGTAGCAGTGTAAAATCCTCACCCTCCCAAGAATAAGACATACTAAGAAAATAACAAAAGAGGAACCCAGAAGAGACAAGAAAAAACAATCTCTCATTACCTTGACTTTTCTTTTTTGTCTTCTGACGCAAGGGAACCTGTAAGAAATGCAGGAAGGAAAGAAAAGAGGAAATTTCAGATTGTGTTGCAACATTTGTGTAGAAAGGGGAGGGGGAAGCTAGAGAAGGACGTGGTGGTGATGCTGGTGGTATATGCAGGATGGAAACGCATAACCCACTCACTGCTGAAGGGACGTTAGTAGCTGAAGCATAAAACGTGTTAATTAAAATTGATGTATATCTAGTTGAGCAAGAGCAAACGTAACTATATTATACATGTGTGTGTCTACTAGTGCTTCCTGTTTCACACCCACAGGCAGCTTCTATTTTGCTACTGTGTTTGCCTGAATTGTATTCTGTGTTCAGAAGTTAAAAAATAGAAGTTAAGACTCCAACATTTTAATGTTTCATTAGACTCCACGAGGGGGATTTACAAACGTGGGGAGATGAAAAATACATGCCAGGTGTCTGATTGTCCTTTAGCTCATTCTAAGAAATTCTGAAAAATAAAAAAAAAAATTGATTTTGCCTTCCTCTTTTTTTTTATTTAGTGCTGAGAATGTATTTCCCTCTATATAAGAATTTTATAATACTTTTTTAACAAAAAAATGATAACCATACAAACCCAGCAGAATATCCAAACTGTAAAACATAAATATGCCAGAAGTTTGCCATGCCATATATGACAGTTTTAGTCACGTCAAAAATAACAGAATTGAAGTACATTTACTCATTTTCAGTCTGTATATTTCAACCCACATAAACACATAGAAAATGAAACTAAAACAGAAGACCACAGGCTAAAAAAGAGGTCATTAGAAATGTAAAGTCTGGCTTTTGAAGTAAATTATCCCCAGACATGCTGTTTGGTCACACGATTGTGGACAAAGCACCTGACTTCTCTTCGCCTCAACCTTTCCATCTCTAGCATGGGAACAAAAGCATTTACCTTTTTCTATTTTTAGGAAGGATTTGAAGCCTCTGGCTGACAAATGCTGGATAAAGTGACATATGATTTAATATGCTGGCCACAACGTTGCTATGCAAAGCTGGTAGCTACCTGATCCGCTGCAGAGCTACGCTATGAACATCCCTAATGCAGCCCCTCTGCCTAGCCAGCCAGCTTTTCAGAGAAATAAAACCCCACTTCATCTTATTCTTGAAGGATTTGATTACTTTTCTCATAGGCGAACTAAAGGTGAGTAAAGCTGCACCATCTGGAAACAGTAACAGAAGAGACCACTGCCAGTATTGACGAGAGCTAGAACTTTCTTTAACCAGTGATCTTTGCAGCATGTATCACAGAGCAGAACTGCATATCGCTTATCTGATGCCTCTTTGAGATGACCTGAGAAACACACTTGTGGGAGGCCTTACCAGGAATGAATAATCCCAGACTCCTGCTTAATCATCACGTATTCTTTTTCCCTTTTTCTTTTTTTTCTTTTTTTTTTTTTTTTAATTTAATTCTACCACTGCCTTCTCTCAGCCTATTCTCCATGACAACAGACAAAGAAAAGCAATGAGAAAACACATCAGCTCTATTGGAGGCTTTGCTATTTCCCCATCCTATATGGGCCACCTTTTGTGTCTTGATTGCAAAGAAAGTAATGCCCTATTTGGGACACATGGAAACAATATATGGCCTCAGTGAATCAATGGGTCACACAGTCACACTAATTACTTTCCTTTAGAGCTACCCAAAGTGATATTAAGAAAAACAAATATGAATCAGCTGTCCTTCCACAAAAACTATGTAGTGGGGCAATGTCACAACTTTGCCATGACACTACAGTGGGGTCATTTCATCTTTACCCAACACCAAGTAGTACAACAAGAGCAGCACTACTGAGACAGGATGTGGCTCTCTAAACAACCGAGGAAGAAGTAGATCTTTCCACTAACCTTATTTATGATCTAAAGCAAAATAATACGGTTTATGGCTTATCTGTCAAGAAAAGGTTAATATCCATATTATGTAAATCATCTGTAAGAGCCTGCTTCATATACAGATGGATGAAAAGATTGATTACCTAGTAAGAGCTCAGGGTAACAAAAAGAATTTACAAATGTGCATTTATTATTCTGCAGTAATGATAGTATCTTGCTGCAATTTGACAGGGGTGATGAATCCCCATCTCTTCATATTTTGTGGGAGGAGTTGCGAAATGAATGGGGGATGGAAGGGCAGTTTACCCAGCCAGCACTGCATTTAGTTTGCCTGGATAAAATCAGTGATAAATCCTTAACAAAATCATTGCTGAGTGAGATTTTGTGAATTAAGGTACATCTCTGGATTTCATTCCCAGTATTCCTGAAAGCTGAATTAAATTTTCAATAAATTAATCTTAAACCTGGAATTCAACAACTTAAGTAGTTTTTAGTGCTGTTCAGAAGCCCAGCATCATCTTATTAAAAATATCTGTTTTGCTCTGTGCAAGAGTAATTTCTAATCCTAGACTGCAACAATGAAATCTGGTGTTATGCACAAAACTGCCTTCCCAAATGTTGCGGATTTATAAAGAAGCAAAAACAACCTCTTTCTCCAAAGCACCAGTGTTTGAAGTCAAATATCTTATGAAATAAGCAAACACTTTGCAGTAAAACTGTTTTCATCTTAAACCAATAGAAAACCTATATATAAACGAATCTATCACAAAATTCATAAAATGCTTCACCAGCAGGATTTGGATTCAGTTTTCCATGAGAATACAACACACTAGCAAGTCTCCAGTGGCAAACCTTTCCTCAAGAAGTAAATTAAAGTTTCCTCCTTCAAAAACTGGCTTAGAGTCAACAATCTTTCATTTCAGTGAACCCGAGTGAAAATTGATTAAGAGATACTTTAAAGTTTCACCTCTAACGGTGACATTAACACCAGTGCAAAACAAAGAGAAAACTGTGGAAGGCAGAGTTATTACCAGTAAAGCCAATGGTACCAACCAGTGGCATAACAGCAGTTTCAGACGTCAAGGTACTGTAACTACCAGACATAATCACTGAAACTATCTGAAACTGAATCAGATGTCATGATTTTACTATGCTTCTGATAATGGTGGATGTTTCTCTATAAATCTGTTTCCTGATGGCAAATTATTTATTTCATTATCACATGTTCAACTGAAAAACAAACCAAAAAATATCAAACCTCTTTCTATCTCTTGTTGTTACCAGGGAAAATCCAAGAGCAATAAACCTCAGAAAGCTCCAAAATTAATGCAAAACATTACAGTTATTTGCAACTTTAGGAGGGTCATCATTTTTGCACAAGGCTGGCAATAGAGGGTAGGTTTTAATCTTTTCAGGTAGGTTTTGGTTTACTCATCAGTTTACTGAGACCTGAACAGGATGAGATAGTGATTCTGCAGGACAACGTAGACTTCAAGTTTGCTATCCATTATTCCTCCACTTGGCAAATACACCCATGAGCCAATTGCAAAGGGAGCTGCACAACTAGCGCTGTTCACAATGACTGCTATGCCAGGTAGGCTCCACCAATGAGCAAAAACATATGAGAGAAGTGATAACTTCAGTAAAAGACTTCTGTCAGTTTAGAGATCCTGTTTTTTTCACGGATTGACAGTATAGTTGAGCTTGGAAGGGACTTCTGGAGGTCATATGGTTCAACCCCCCCAACGCAAACAAGGACACCTACCACGTCCAGACAGCTTTTAAATATCTCCAGGGATGGAAACTCCACAGCCTCTCTGGGCAACCTGTGCCAGTGCTCAGTCACCCTCACAGTAAAAAAACGTTCCCTGATGTTCAGAGGGAACCTCCTGTGTTTCAGTTTGTGCCAAGTGCCTCTGGTCCTGTGTCACTGGACACCACTGAAAAGAGCCTGGCTCTGTCTTCTTTGCACCCTCTCTTCAGGTACTTATATGCATTAATAAGATCCCACTGAGACTGTCCTCCAAGCTAAACAGTCCCAGCTCACTCACTCTTTCCTCATATATTAGATGTTCCGGTGCCTTAGTTATCCTTGTGGCCTTTCACTGGACTCTCTCCAGTATATCCATATCTCTCTTGTACTGGGGAGCCCAGAAGTGGACACAGTGCTTCACGTATCACCTCACCAGTGCTGAATAAAGGGGAAAGATCACCTGCCTTGACCTGCTGGCAATACTGTGTCTAATGCTCCAAGGATACCATTTGCCTTCTTTGCAGCGAGGGCATTTTGCTGGCTCGTGTTCAACTTGATGTCCACCAAGCAAGACTCCCAAGTCCTTTCCTGCAAATCTGCTTTCCATCTGGGTGGCCCCCAGCATATACTGGTTTCTTCTGTCAATATCATTTGTGCTCATAGGGAATAACAGTAGGGGGTAGAAGTCAGAAGGCTGGACAAGCTTTGGCAGTCCCTCCATAACATCCTGGATTCGGGCCCCTGCCAGGCAGCAAACCTCTCTAGATAGTTGGTCAGGCCTACAGACAGGTGACTCTGGCCCCCACAGTGGGGAGTCACCCACTGTGTTTACTCACCGTTTGCTCCTGGTAGCCTTGCATGGTTTATGGTTAGATGAACCAGGTCCTTTTCTAGTAGGCACTTCTGGCTCCTCTTCAGTTTGAGGGCAGTCAACCTATATTGCAGTTGCAAGTTCTTAGGTGGGGCAGAAGCCTTCCTCTTGGTACTAGAAGTCATCAGCTTCCATCCTTCCCCTTCTCCAGAGGTTTTGCTTACTTTGGTAGTGGGGGTAGACACTGCCTGCTTCTCCACTGCAGGTGGGGACTGACGTTTTAAAGCTGTTGTGTGTCAGAGGAGACTTTACCTATCTCCCTTTCATTTTTTTCTGATGCTGTGCAGCCTGCTCACTTCCTCCCATTTCTTCTCCACTTGCTAGCACAGCTTCTTCAAGATGGGGCACCTCCTAAAGGGCAGAGGGCCATCTCTCCCAGCCTCAGAGAGAGGTCTCAGGCTA